CTGATGAATAGTGTTTACTGGGACATCTGAAGGCCAGCCTTGTTATTAATTTGACGTTTTGAAATTATGCCTATTCCTAGAGTATAGGTAATTATTGCCTGTCAGTAAGACTTAGTACTGAAATTGTTATTTCCTGCAATAGTAGTAATAATAATAAAAATAGTTATAAGTCCTATTTCAGTACAACTGAAGCAAATGGAGCACAGGAGCATGTTACACTCAAATTCAGGAAACAAATACTTTATTGATGATTTCACAGGATATCACATCCACTAAGGTAAATAAATTTAAATCAAACATATGATTTCCATAAAAAGAAAAAAAAGTTCCAGGTGCAACTATGCAGAGGTGTTGAAGATTTTCAGTTTTGCACAAGTTGTGAACAGATGTATTTCCAGCTGTAGCTTTTGGATCTTTAGAGGAAATTCCCTTGTAGCAGATGGCAGCTTTCTTTTCTCTTCATCAAGCTGCTTATTGAGTCTGTTTTTAATGAATTTAGTTAGAACTGGTTTATGCAGTTGTGAGGGGTGTAATTCTCACTCTGCTGCTGATACACATCACCATAGGATTTGACTTCTTGGATACCATTTCACATCTGCAGCTCCCAGACTCTGGTGAGAAACAGTTTCACCTGGGAGCTATGCATAAGCAAATCTGTGGCTATTCAGTGGCCCAGTTCTGATTAAAAATACACAAAATTTGAAATTTCACCTCTGCATAAGGACACGAGATTTATGTGATTGTCTGGCTGGTCTGTCAGTCAGTGTTTCTGTAATGATGGAGTTGAGCCCAACAGCTAATTTCAGCCAAAAATCTAAGACACGCTTAATCTCCTGCATCATCTGTGGATTTTTTTGGTCAAGCAGAGAGATCCAAGTTGGTGTCCCAGTATGAAAACAGCAGGAGGCTGCAGCTGCCAGAGGCTCAATGGGATAGGGAGGAGGCAACTTGTGCTGCACCCTCAGCTCACCAGGCTGCTCCTTGCTGGTCAAGGCTATGAGGAAAACATGACAAAGGCTCAGGTTACTGCTCTGAGGTTTTATTTTGAGACTGAATGTCCCAGAAGCCATCTTTGCTCCTGACAAAGTCCCATGTGATTTTATTTTTTTAATTATTTTTTCTGTACCATCAGACTTCATCAATCTGTTCCTTAATTCTCTTCGTTGTAAAATTGAGCAGAGGTACTTCAGAGGGATAGTGAGAGATTTAATTAACTTTTACAAACAGAGAGGATAATGAATAGGTGATAAAGACTAGAAATGGAAGTTCAATACTAAAGTGTTGTATTGATTTAGAAACATCTGTCATTCCGAATCTCAACAGCAGAGCATCAAGGCTACTTTAAAATACAACAAACAGAGGTAACTCTTTGATTTCTTTAAAGCCAAATGTTTGTTTCATGCAAAAGGGAAAAAAAACAAAAAAGGGAAGAAAGGAAGGGGGGGAGATAAAATGACCTCCCCCAGACTCTGGACTCCTAAAACACAGTCTGCATTCTTACTGTTTTCTCAGAGTGCCCTTCTACAAAGGAGTGCCTCCTGCTCTGTAGATCTGTTTTTCTGCCTTTGTTGCAGAAGCACAGGGCTGGGTGGTAAAGCTGTGATATAATGGCTCTTTCCCCATCTCTAAAAGGTTCCATATTTCGTGCCACAGAGGAACTTTCTTTCAGAAAAATCACCTTCACAGAATGATGTGCATTTCAAAAGAAAAGCACATGATGTCCCTGTGTGACATTATTGGTATGCTTCTGCATCCAGTGTGTCAACAGGATGCTCTTCTGTTGTTTCTTTATGTTGTAATAATGCTCTGCTGATGAAGGTGCAACATGAAAGGCTGCTCTTTAGAGGATTTGAGTTTAGTACTGTGTGGAACAAGAGCACAGGAAAGCAAATAGTATTTCCAAGCAGAAGCATTGAAGTGAGGCTATGATCACTTTTAGAAAGCCTCTATTTTCTCCATATCTCAGGTAATTAGGCACCACACATGTACTTTGTCTTCTGGATATGGGCAGTGTGGATTTGAATTTAGAATTTAGCTCTCTACTGTAGCCTATAACAGACAGTATTAAAAACAGATTAAAATAACAGCAATAGAATTGAAAAGGATGTTGCAGAGACTTTTATGTATATATTCTATTTGCATTATCTTATTTGTGTTCCTGTGCTATGTGAAGAATTTGAAATTGAGTTGCAAGTTCCTAACCTGAGTCCTATTTTGCTTTTGCTCCACTTGAGGCAAAATAATGAGTTTTAAAAAAGTGAGGAGGGTAATGTGTGGTGGTGTTCGCAGGGGTCCCAGCATGAGGGAAGAGACAAGAATGTTGACTCCATGTTTCAGAAGGCTTGATTTACTATTTTATTATATGTATATATATATATTATATTAAAACTATACTGAAAGAATAGAAGAAAGGATTTCATCAGAAGGTGATTGTGAAATTTTTTACCTTATTTGTGTATTTTCTGCATGTATCTTCCTGCAGAAACAGCTTTCTGTAAGTGGCAGATAGATGCTTTTGTCACACATGCAGGGGGATTTCTCTCTCTGATGTTTCAGGTCAGGAGAATCAGCAGCACTTTGGTTAAAATTGTCAAAAAGGATGAAAAACCATTGAGGAAAAAGTCACTAAGACAGCAAACCTTTTATCTGACAACCCATTCCTAGTTCAAAAAAAATTAAACTTTCAAACCAATTTCAGCCTGGTGGCATCAAGAAGACAGTTTCCAAAATTACCAGAGAGAGACTGACCCACTCAGAGAGGCAACCAAACCACCAGGTGCTGTCCTGAGCCACCTCCAGAGGACTCTGGGGAGGGTCCAGGCTGCTGCACCTCAATGCAGTCAGCAGCAATTCACACTGGCACTTTGCTGTTTGTCACATTAGCTTTACAGCCCAGTGCCCTTGGCCAAGGCAGTCCAGTAAGGTGTCTGTATGATGAACTGTCTTGCTGGATCTTCCTCTAGATAAGATTTTAAAGAGGAAAATGGTATCTGCCATGGGAGCACTAATTTGGAGCATCCATGCCCTGGCAGGACCCAGCTGGCCCTGAGGGAAGCATGGTGGGGCACCAGGGGGGTCCCAGCCCAGGGAGCAGGGCCCATCCCACTGCCACACACCCTCATTAGAGCTCCTGCCACCCAATGGTGCCTGGGGGGCCCTGGCTGGCCCGGGCTGGCCGTGCCCAGGTGGGGACAGTCTGGGCTGCTGCTGAGCCTGCAGCTTCACAAGCCTCATTTCTGCTCCCAAAACAGGTTTGCAAAGGGAAATGTGGCCCCATAATGCAGCAGCTACAGGTTCAGAGTGGGTACAGGGCCATGACTGGAGAGTGAGATGTCTTCTGTGGTGACACCACCTTCTCTTTATTCTGGTGTGCCTCTGGTGTGCGCGTGGGGAGAAGGTGCCCTGTGTGGTTACAGGCCCACACTCAGTGACCACCACAGCAGCGAGCAGCGCACGGGGCTTTGGCAGGGCCCTGGGCTGCACAGCTGGGCCTGTGCCTGTGGAGAGGTTAAAATGATGGGTGGAGGAGGGTGGGCTGCTGTTCTGACAGCCTGTTCTCAACTGTGCAGTGCAGATGCAGGGAGGCCCTTCCTTAGGCTACCCAACGAAGCTTAATGGGAAATGCACTATGCAGAGTGTCCAGCAGTGCTGCCCACCAAGAATTCCCACCTGGCGTCATCCCTGATGGACAGCACAAGAAACAGTCTGTCTTCACAGGTTAAGCATTTTGTGAGTGTAGGATGTGTGATTTTTACTTATGGGGTGAGATTACAATTCTGCAATTCCATCTGTTTTGAATTTATCTACAAGGTGGTTTGAATGAGGTAGTAAAGCTTATATCACTATTGACTTAAGTATCAAAATAGCAAGAAACTCAAGTATGTCACCTGTGCTATTTAAGGTTTTCAGATCAGCTGGTTTGGACCTATTTCTGTGCATCAATTTTTGAAGTACAGCAATAGACAGGGGTTTTGTTATGTGTGTTCTTTACTCGGGGACTGAGAGTACTCAGCTTTTGAGCAGCTCCACAACACATGCCTGCAATGAGAGTCTAACAGATCTCAGGCTTTGCTACCTGAAATAGTTTTATAATATGTCTTGTAGATGCTTTCATCTGAAAAGCATATTGGCATTGTGAAGAGAACAAAGAAAATGTCAATATTTTTCAATAAAGTAGTGATTGACTGAAAATGTAAATGCATCTTTAGGATCAAGATTTGGTAATATGGGGACTTGAATCCTCTTCAGTGTCTGAATAGTCTGCTAAACGGCTTTGGTATGAAATCTTCAGCATTAGTTTTGTTTAGCTTGAACTCAGCTCACCTCTGAAATTATGATTTCCCTTACTCTCTATTCATCTCAACCGTAAAAAGTATTTTTCTCTCTGCTATCACACAATAATGTTATCTCTACACAAAAAATAATTAGTTACTATTTTTATTTGGAATTTTTCTTTGTTACTGATTGTTTGGGTGGTAGTTTATTGGAAGCTCTGAATATTGTATGTATATATATATAATATATATATATATATATATATATATATAACTTCCAAAAAGTGATACGTCATAAATGCTGCTAACATCAGCAAAATACAATAACTTAATTTGAGCAAGATTAATCTGACTTGCTCTGGGACTGGTACATTCTGTTTCATCTTAAATGAAATAAAGTAATTAATTTTGTGTAGTTTTCATTTTCACATTAACATTCCCTTCTGTGAAGTGTAATTGCCTTCTTGTTGTTTGCAATACTGTAGTCATTTTAGTTAGAGCAGCTCTCTGTAGGGAAAGACACCAGTTGCTCTTCCTGGAGAACTTGCTACACAGACCAGGCAGTCAGAAATAGAGGACACTTGAGTGGTCTGATTGGCCTAAGGTCATCCAAGCCATCAGCAGAGTGAGAATCAGAATCCAGACTGCCAGAACCTTATTCCAGTATTGTATCCAGGGACCATGCTGCCTCTTAATGTCACTGTTCTTATTCTTCTTTCTTTATAGTTCGGGATCGGGTACGATCTAAAATGGAGAGAGATATTTTGGCAGAAGTGAACCATCCTTTCATAGTCAAGCTTCATTATGGTAACTATAATAAAATATAATTCACGTTTGTTCTTAAGTCGGTTGGGGAATTGTGACTAGATGCGTTACACTTTTGTGCAGATACCCCCTGCCTACTTATGACTCTGTTGCTAACAAAGTCATAGAGGCTACGTGTGTGAAATTCTTCATTTATGCTGAGGGAGACATCCAATACTTGTAAGTTTCAGCCAGTCTTCCATTGAAATAAGTCTGTCATAAAGTCTGGTGTGGTAGGTGGTGCTGGTGGGGTTGCTGCTGAGTTTATGTCTGCCAAACCCTCACCTGCTGTCAGGTATTGTTTAGAAAGAGAATTTAAATAAAATAATCAGTACCGGCCTAAATTTGTATAGATGTGTACTACATGAATGTGGTGTCTTGCTGGAGTTGCCTCCTGCCACGCCAGCCCTGTTACTACTGGAACAGGTATTCTAAGAACATTTGGTGTGTGGGCTCTTCTCTCACACAAACATGGAAACTTCTCTCTATGCCTCACTCTTAGTGACTCCTGATACCCCATGGAGTGGGAAACACTGTTAATTCACAGGTGCTTAACACAGAAATGAATATATCAGTAATGCAATTGTCTCTCAATTGACACTATTTTTTTCCATACCCAAAGCTCAATTGCCAAGTTCTATACAGAAATGGGGTTTTTTGGTTCTCAAAGTTTTGAAGTGACAGTGAAGCAATGGCATGAATAATACACTGCTAGTCAACAGGACTTACTCATTGGGGACTTTATCTTGGTTCAAACTTCCAACGTCTTCATCCTTTTCTAATGCAGCATTTCAAACAGAGGGAAAGTTGTACCTAATACTAGATTTCCTGCGGGGAGGGGACCTTTTCACCAGACTCTCCAAAGAGGTAAGCTGATAGATCTTTAACTCAGAAATTAAAGACTGTCTTGGATTTTCAGAACTCAAATTGAGTTCAGGGAAATGAAAAATGGCCTTGGGAATGGTCATCTATATATGTAATGGAGCTATCTCATCTTGCATGGTTAAGTGGGTTCTTAATAATTGTATTTGAATTATGCCAGAGGTAATGCAGCAGATACCATGTAGGCATCACTGCCAGAGAAAACTGCTCCACTGCTAAGCCATTCCTATAGCAAAATAGCCCCAGACTCAGTGCATTCAGAAGAAGTATTGGATGTGATGAGAAACAGCCTGAGAAATCAATCCCCAATACATTTTGCCGTAGGGATGAGCACAGAATTACTGGGAAAACACAGACACTGCCAGCAGAGGGATGAGATGGCCGTGGGTCAGGGCCAGCCCTGCAGCTGCTGGGAGCAGGTTGAGGGCCGCACACCGGCCTGGACATGGGAGAGTGACTCTCACAGCCCTCACCTGCCCTCCTCCTGCCTGCCAGGGGCAGCTGCTGCTTCCATGCCCTCCCCAGGCTGTCATCCCTCCCCTGTCCTCTGCATGCCGTGCCTCTGGAGAGGGATTGCCAGGCAGGGAATGTCCCAAACCTGAGTCTCGCTGATGCCCATACAGAGCAGTCACAGTAGGTTTTCTAGGTTTGTTTAGCTCTTTCCTGAATCTCCAAACGTCTGTGAGCCAGCAGTCCCACAGAGATCCCTGCACGAGTGCAGGAGGCTCCAGTGAGTCAGGATGGTGCCCTGCAGTTGTCTGTGCCCAACATGATGTCCCCAGCCCTTGGTACTTCTAAGGGTGCGGGGTCAGGGATGCAGGCAACCACTTATCACAGTCTTTAATGACAGGAACCTTTCAAATGCCATCTTGAGGGGAAGCTCTGTAGTTCTTTTTGGGCTTGGGGAGCTACTCATGGACTAAGAAAGCTGTGAAAACAGTCTTTTCAGTCAAAAGTTCCCCAGCTCTCCCTCACCCCTGTTCAATTCCTGATTCAGTGACGTGCTGCAGGATGCTGTGTGCACTGCAACTTGGGACCCCAAGCTTTTGCTGTTAAAGTGTGTTTGCTAATGCAATAAGACATTGGTAACAAGTTAATTACACTGCTGAGTAATGATCCTTATATAAATATTCAGTCTCTGGTAGCAGTTATTTTTAATATGAGGAAAAAGATTTTAAAAATTTTTATTTCAAATGTCCTTCTGCTATTGTCATGAGACCAAGCTTTATTAGCGAGACAGTGCCGCTGTCTCAGCAAGGGCCTCTCTGATTTCATGGAAGAAGACAGAAAATGTGGCTCTTGCCTAAGAGGGCAGGTCCCTGTTCTGCACAGGCAGGGAACTCAAAAGTGGAAGATAACAGCTCAGACTTTGCACTTCTTTAAAGCTTCATGTTTTCCCCAAAGCTTGTCCAGGGCAATTCACCAACTCCTGTGCTGTAGACCATTGTTAATGACTCATTAAGCTGACAGTAAAAACATCTCTATTTTCAGTGTTTGCAGCTCACCTTGCCTGCCTATACCTTGCAGCTGTTTAGGGGCAAGGTATTGCAAGGGAAGAAGTTCTGGGAAAGCTTGAATTGTTTGCAATTTGTTGTTATAGATTTGGTTGAAAAGTATTGATTTCAGTGGACTTCATGTCAGATCGCATATACATTTATTGCATGCATGCAGAACTTGCCTATTTATTGCTCTGTCTTTTTGAGACATCTGACTTTTACTATGTGTATATGTATATTTTTCCTGGATTCTATTGATTTAATTTCTTGCCTACATTATTTATTTTAAATCTTATAAATAATTTAAATTGCTTTTAAAATTAATGTCATTTTTACATTTACATTTTACAATTAAATCTGAGAGGTTTTGCTTGTGCATTTATTTATTATTTTCCTGTGTTTTTGTTTCTAGTCTTTGCAGTAAAATAATTAAATTATGAGACATCTGTGCTCTGAACCATCTCTTTTTTCTCTCAGCTGTCTGGAACTTCTCAAGGCACTCAGATATTTTGGTTACCCCTTTGTGAGTGCAGAGACTTAATTTTAAAATTAAGCTCTGCAACTTCTACTGTAGAATTTACATTTACATATGACAAGTAAATTTGTATTCAGCTGACTCATTTTACTTGTCATGCATAATCACACTTGTGTATCTAATACATCATCTTCTTTTTCTGCATTATTATCTCTGTGACTATTGAAATTTAATTAAAGAGAACATCTTATATATAATGGAAGTTGAACCAAAGGGGTTTCCTGCCATCTGAGTTTTTCAGAGCTTATTGGTTTTTTGATTACAGAAGTTTCTTCTCACCTAAAACACTGCCTTCAGTGTTAGCAGTGTCCATATGAGCTGCAGAAAACACTGTCTTCAGTTGGCACCTCCTCAGGCCTTGGGTGTCTGACAGCACGTCACTGCTGTCAGATATTAGGGCATCTGCACGGATATTCCTTGGACCTCCAAAGCACGAGGTTTTAACTCCATCTCTGATTCTCTTCATGCTGTGTGTTCTGCTCAGACTTGGAAGTATTCCACATCCCCAAAAAGGTTTCCCATGCTATTTAATAGGAATTTGGTAACCAAATGCCAAGACTGTAGCAAGTTAAGGGATATGGAAGCAATGTGGGCTGCACTGAATGTGTTTAATTTTGCTGTTCATTTCCAAAGCCTAAGGAGTTATAATTTAATATTTAATGTTGTGGCATAATGTCATCTAAACAGATCAAGCAGATGAATGAGAGCAGCATATTTTAAGGAATAGAGGTGCTCAACAGATCAAGTTTTGTTTTATAGAGAGAATCTGGTAAGAATTGTTAATGTCAGTTCAGACAAATTATGGAAAATTGAACCTGATATGGTGTTCCCTTCCAGCATTTTAGGTTAGACAATTCCTTCCTTGTGTGTATTTAAGGCAAGCCAGCCCACCACTGTCCAATAAATAGATGTGGTCTTCTCTTCCTTCTCTCTAGGTGATGTTTACAGAAGAGGATGTCAAGTTCTACTTAGCTGAGCTGGCCTTGGCATTAGACCATCTCCATGGGCTTGGGATTATTTACAGGGATCTAAAACCAGAAAAGTAAGTTAACAAGGAAAAGAACTGAAACATAAATACATGAACTTTTAGGTTGCTTCTGCTCCTTGTCACGCTACTAAATGAGAAGGTGCCAGGGGCTCTGCCTTCCTTCTTGTGAGACTGTATGAGACTGTCACTAACAGCAGCACAGCTTTCCTGTCATACCATCTTAGCATAAGGCCAAATGTTTTGACTGTGCTCCAGTATGATGGGACTTCTGTGTGCCTGGCCTTCAGTTTTGTGAATGATTTCAGTAAAGAATTCAGAGATCCCTGTGCACTTTAACTTTAGTGGCACCATTCTCTGTTTGCAGCTTTAATCTGGCCTTCCCCCTGATGCAGTGTAAACCTCTCAAAGCAGCTCCACTTCCAGCTCACACCGAATATGGAGTGGCACTGTTCAGTTTTATTAGAGCCACTGCTTAAAGTAAATGAGCATGTCTGAGAACTTGTGTTAACTCATGAGAAACATGATAGTTGGGACTTTTAAAACACTTGTATTAACTGTTCAAAATATTTTCCAAAATGTTTGTTCTCACTTATATTTGCAGCTATTTTTCACTCGTAATGTGGTCCTAATTTTCCTTTCTCTTTTTTATTTGTAACATATCAGTAGAGCAAATGACACCCTCAGTGCTGTCACTGGAAGTGACATGATACTGTTTTTATGCTATGCCCTATGCTTGGTGCTTTGATAGATTCTGCTGTAACAACTCAAATCAGGCTGCAACATTCCAAAGTTCTTTTTTAATGTAATGGTCACCAGCATTTATAAAAGATAACCACTGAGCAATTTTTGGCAATTGCTTACACTTTCAAAGTCTAGCAGCACAGCAGCATTTTCCTTCTGTGACATCAAACTGAAAAATATGCAGCTCTTTATTTAAGGTGGAGTGTTACCGCTCTCACTCTCATGGGCAAAACATGAGACCAAAAGTGATGGAAGATGGACTTTGTAGGTGAGAAGTTGAAGGGAAGGAGCCTGTTTATCTCTGTTGAAATTCTGTGTGATTTAAATTTTAACTTCAATTTTATGTTTCGGTTAGAAAAGTAGTAGTAGCAGTAGTAGTACTATGTGAATTCAACAGGTGTGCATAGCAAGAACTCTCAGAGTTTTGGGCTGGTGGACTTTTTGTAAGTCCACTACCAAATTTTCCAGTCTTGCCCATTTATGCAGCCAAAACTGGAACCCAAAGTCTTTGGCAAATATGGGAAGCTATCCTACAATTAAACAGCTGGAGAGAGAAAAGTACCAGTTAGTTCCTGATATGAAATGCAGGTAGGCAGTGGTGACATCCCAGCAGCCACAGGCTCTTGCATCATCCGCCAGCAGCTCCTGGGTTTCAGTTTCCTTCAGAATTGCTGTTTTATCCATTCAGCATCAACAAACATGTACGCAATAGAATAACTCCAGGTGTAGGTTTTCTGTTTTAAACTTTGATTCTAGTGAGCATTCGTTTGGATCATGCACTGCTTTTCTCTCTGATCTTAGATGTGGCTGATTTTTGAGATTACACATGATGTGTGAATCTGCTGTTAGAAGCTGTCCAGATATGAGCTTGTATATTCAGATGTGTCACAATGCCATTACATTTTTAGGCATATGCTGTGATTTTTTGCTTTAGAAGAAGTTAGAAACTAAGGAGAAAATTAGGCGTATGTCAAAACTGTTCATTGTATTTGAGATACTGAGACCTGGATTCTTCTGAGTTCTCAGCAGGAAGTGTCACTTAGCATCTCAAAAAACATCTCTCAATGACTCCAGTTGCAAGTGAGAGCACTTTATATTACTGCAGACCAAGCTGAAGTGCTTCCAATCAGGGATCAGTGAATTGAGAAATTGGAGCTCATCTAAGGAAGGAAGGTGTCACTGATTTGTCATTGTCACATAGAAGCATGTTGAAAAGGTACAGATGGAATCCAGTTTTCTCTGTGTTTTTGTCTGAGCTGAGATCAGCCATCCCATCTTCACTGTACTGCTCTGCTAAAATCCCTCCCTGAGTGTTGCTGGTCTGCCAAGTGAGACAAGATTTCTTTGGAAGGAAATAAAAAGTATCCTCACATAACTGGAGACCTATACACAGAGAGATCTCTGAGTGAAGTTAAGTTGGCAGCCCTCACTCTTGCATTTTCTCACTGTTGTATATACAGTGTTTATGGCCTTTGATATTCAGTTAAATGGATTAACTGTGATACAGTTTAATTTGGATGCAATTGAAGTAGTGTAAAATTAACATACATGATTAATATTTATAATTAATATTAATTTATATTATAATTAATATAACTGTTGTGTAGGAAAGGGAATGACCCAGGAATTCATACCTGGAGATAAAGCAAGGCCTCTGATTGAAAGCCATATCCTCTAAAAAAAGCTCTGTAAGTGCAAAGCCTATGTGCAGTCACACCTAGGAGAGCAGAGCATGATAGGCTATGATTTCTCTGGATCTTTAGGTTTACATTAAAGAAACAGATACAGCAGAGTAAAAAAATTACTCTCCGGGGGAAAAAATGCTAAATTTTTTTGTTACATCTGGGAAAGTATATCTTTCTAAATAAGATGATTAAAGAAAATTAGGGTGTTCTCATCCTCCCCTTGCCCCCTGGCAGGATCAAGACCATAACAGGTGTGCTGCTAACCCAGGCTTAAAGCAGCTGATGAAGACTCCATGCTCTACACAGGCCTCTTGGCAGTGCTCCAGCAGTTGCTCATCTAAAATGTTGCTCTTAATACCTAGTTTGAAATTTCTCCACTGCCCCTGCAGGCCAGTGCTCCTTGGCCTGTCCTCGTGGAAGACCCAGCCCGCTTGTTCTGCTCTCAGCAGCAGCCTCAGGGGTTTTGAGAACATGTTTTCCTTAGACCCTCTTCTGTACCCTAAACAATCCAGGTGCTGAACTGTTCTTCACTAGTCAGTCTTTACAGGGGTTCAGTCATTCTCATTACTCCCCTTTGGTTTCCCTTGATTCCTCTCTCCTTTGAAGGGCAACGTGCAGAATCACACACACGTCTGCAGCAGAGGCATTACCAGCATGATTATAGCACAAGGTTTGCTCTGTCAGATTTGCAGAACTGGAGATAAATTAATTAATTCATAATTTCCCAATTCTCTCTCTCTCTTTCCCTTCCTCTCTCCCCTTTATTAAAGATAGGCACTGCATTAGACCTTTCATTGTTCAGTGCTTTTGCTGTTCTTCAGATGCTCCCAAAATAGCTGCTGATAGGTTTGAGTTTGCTTGTCAGTTCTGTAAGTATGCTAAAATAAAGCTCATGGAGTTGTTTGTGTTTAACAAAAAGCCAAAAACCAACCAAACAAAAAATCACTGTTAAAACCACTTGGAAGAACTGTCGGTACATTAAAATTTAAGGTTCAGCTTTTTTTTTTAAGATTCCCTGAGCAAAAGTCCATGTTAACAATTGAAAGCTATGAGTTAATTTCAAGTGCAGCTGGGAGTTGTTCCCAAGTCAGCTGTACTTACTTCAAAAAGACAAGTAATTGAGCTTTCTGGTTAAAGTCTTGTTTAGAACAAGCAGATGCTTCTCTTGAATTGTTGCAGACAAATTCTTCTCCTTGAGTTGTCTTGGTGATTTCAGTGGCATCCCTTGTGGGACAAGGTATTTTTCAGTCACACTGGAAGCCACTGAGTTCCTTAAATGGTGAGGCACGTTTTTACTTAAGAACTGCACAATCAAGCTATAAAAAATGGTGTATATACCATGGAATATGGTAAATACCAAGATAGAAAAATGGGAACTTATCATAGGGTAGTATATGATGCACATTCTATTTCTTATGCTGTGATTTAAGGACATGGGTGACTTAGAAATAACTCTACCATCTGAAAATGGACAGACTGTTATTAATCTATACCATTTCTCTTTTCAGGAACCTAGATGCACTTTGAGTTGTGGAACAGGGGCTTAGGTTAACAAGGAGTGATGTACATTTTAAGGCCCTCAGTTGTTTACACCAGGGACAGTGTAGACTCTAGAAAAGCCAAACACCACTTTTTAATGCAGTGTGTTGCCAACCATGACTGCTGATTCATGAATGTAACTGCCCTGTGCAGAGGGGAGACCTGAGAATCAGTAAGAGACAAAGGCTCATGGTGGAAAGCCTCCACTGATGTAAGCTGTCCCTTTTTGGCTTCATGGTGTCAACAAAGCTGGAGCAGAGAGGAATTTGCATTCAGCAGGGTGAGATAGCATGGGGTCATGTGAACACTGAAATGTCACAAAACACAGTTTGTGAGAATCTTCATCTCTTTAGTAGATATTTGACTGCTTCATCTGATACTTTCATAACAAAATGAAATAAAACACTCTTGATAAAGTCTCAGGTTTTATCTCCCACCTGAAAATTTAGCTACAGTTTCTGATTAACATAAAGTGTGGGTTGAATCTTCTGCAAAACTGCTCTCACTTAGAAAGAAACTTGTATCATCCAAAAAAAAAAAAAATTCCTAAACCAAAATAAAGCAAAAAAAAACCCAAAAAAACCAAAACCCAAACCAAAAGAAACTCCAACCAAAAGAAGAAAAAAAAAAAAAACAACAACCAAACCAACCCCAGAGTTCCAGCTTTATTTGATTTGGCAGAACATCACGTTGTTTTGGGGATGTTGGAGCTCAAAGTGAAGTCCGTAAGACATGACTCAAAACCAAAAATAAAGAGAGCCAGAGAGAAATGGGAGAGAATTGTTCAGGCCTTGATTTAAGACATGATATAAAACAATGCCAACAACCCATAACAAAAGCTTTTTTCCCCTGTGATAAAGCTGCAGCAGATAAGTTGATAAGGAGTTTGCAGTCCTAGCTCTGCTATGGGACTTCTCCTGTAACTTGATCTGTGTCATTCCTCTACTACCAATTTAGCTGCCCCAGCCTCTACCATGGAGATTTCCAGCCTTTGTCTTCTCAAGACATACTTTTAAACCAAGTTCAGTGAAAGTAGTTTGAATGTTTGTGGGATGGTCCTGATGCTAAAATGTTAAATCATAGAATAATAGAATATCCCCAGGACAATCCCAAGGATCACACCCTGTGCCTGAGTGCATTGTCCAAACACTCCTTGAACTCTGCCAGGCTGGTGCTGTGATCACTTCCCTGGGGAGCTGTTCCAGTGCCCAACCACCCTCTGGATAAAGAACCTCTTCCTAATACCCAACCTAAACCTTCCCTGACACAGCTTCAGGCCATTCCCTTGGGTCCTGTCACTGTCACCACAGAGCAGAGATCAGTGCCTGCCCCTCCTCTTCCCATTTTGAGAAACCTGTGGACTGTGATGAGGTCTCCTCTCAGTCTCCTTCTGTCTAAGCACACCCTTTTTTTGTGGCATTTTTTGTTCCAAGCCTATGTGGGTTCACTTATTTAGGGTGTTGGCATATTTTTCACTTAAAAACTGTTATTACTGCTTTGAAGAGAAGGTTTACAGTGACAGTATCCTGTAAAAGCACTCAAACATTAAACTGAAAGAATAAAATTTAAAAAAGACCACCTAGCTGAAGTTTATCATTCAGTATGATTGTAACCTAGCCTAGCATTTAAAAGTAGTCTACTTTTTTATGGTTTTTATAATTTCAAAACATTAATTTAGATGAAAGATTATTCTCAAGCCTGAATCGTATTAAGAACTTCTGGTTGTTTTTCCCCTTCCATAGAATAATACTGTCTTATTTCAGATTAGTTTGTTCTGCAAACCATAGCTAAAGTAATTGTGATTTCCACAATAGAATGTCTGCTATGGATATTGTGGGATAAAAAGGAATTGTAAGGTGACAAAGATAAAGAGAGTAGAGAGTATGATCAGATAATTAGTTTGGTTCTACTGTCACAGGAAAACTATTTGTCTGTTGTTACAATTTGCATTCTTAGAAGCAGGTACTTTGTTCTTTTCGTCTTAATTTCACTGTGCAATAATTCAGTGCAACAATTGCCCTTTTTTTCCCTCACAATTAGCATATTGTTTTCTTTTTACATGAAATACAATCTTTGGTTAGTAGCTGTAGCATTATTTGTGCTGCCAGATGGCAAATGTGGAGGCACCCAGATGTCCAGAGGGCGCTGCCAGGGGCCACAGAGGAAGCTGCCAGCAGCCAGAGATTTAAAAAAACTTTGAGGTTCATTTTTCTTTCTGGAGCCATAGAATCTACTAAGGTTTCGTGTACATAAGTATTTGCATCTTGCAATGTTTCCTTACCTGACTTAAACATCTTTGATTCATGTTTTTTAACTGCACTTTTTGCCTGGCTAATGAATGACTATTTCTTTTTTTGCTTTATAGCATTCTTCTTGATGAAGAGGGTCACATTAAGATAACAGGTATGTGAGAAACAGAAAACTTCATGCCTATAAGCTGATTTTTTTTTTCCTACAGTATATTGTATGCATCCTGGTTGGAAGGAGTTTGCTTACAAAAAGAAGCCAGAACAGTTTGAGTGTTGAGCTTCTCTGTCAGTTTGTCAGCCCCTCTGCTGCACAGCACATGGAGAACATAGCATTTTCTTGGTAAAATTGTGCTCCTGACTGATGTGAAGCAGACAGGTTTGGCTGCTTGCCACTGGGGATGGAAGGATGCTTCCAATATGACTATTTGATCCAGGCAGAGGATGGCTGGAAAGACATCCCTTTCCCACTCTAGTGGCACTGTCCAGCCAACCTTTTCACTGGTGTAATCTGGGATTATTATTCCTAGTACTTTGGAATATAGCTGCACAGGAATCCTTGCTAGCATTGCCTTCACCAAACCTGAGCTGTATGTATCTGCTTATTTAAACTACCTTCTGCCTTGAGCCAGAGCCTCATTCTGCACAGGGAAAATGATATTCATTATTCAGGGTGTATTAACAAGTGCCAGGCACTCCACCTAGGCAGGGCTCCAGCACACTCGTGTTTGTGGCACAGGCACAGGAGGGCACTTCACCAGCTGGTTGGTGTGTTTTGTTCAAACAATTTAAGCCAGCAAAAGCATAAATAATAATTTTTAGAGAGCTGACGAGCCTTGTTCTGCTTCAATTTGTGTAGATTTTGGTCTGAGCAAGGAAGCCATCGACCACGACAAGAGAGCATACTCGTTCTGCGGGACGATCGAGTACATGGCCCCCGAGGTGGTGAACCGGCGCGGGCACACGCAGAGTGCTGACTGGTGGTCCTTTGGCGTGCTCATGGTAAGGCACAAACTCTGCTCATCTGCTGCAGGGGGAGGCTTCAGATCCCTCTGATAAAAATTGCAGTGTCAGGGAGGTTTTTCAGAGAGGTTTTGTGTCACTGTAGGGCGCGAAACGACACAATGCGGACTCGCTGCTCTTCCCGAAGTGTCACAGACGTCTTTTATGAAAAATCCTTTCTTTAAGATTTTTCTTCTTGAGAAGCTGAGAGGCTTCAGGAACAAAATGTAAATAATTATTATCTGCTGCTGTGGAATGCAACAGGTGCATCTGTGATTGGTCTCATGCAGTTGTTTCTAATTAATGGCCAGTCACAGCTGTCTCAGACTCTCTGTCCGAGCCACAAGCTTTTGTTATCATTCTTTCTTTTTCTGTTCTTAGCTGGCCTTCTGATGAAATCCTTTCTTCTTTTCTTTAGTGTAGTTTTAATATAATATATATCATAAAATAATAAATCAAGCCTTCTGAAACATAGAGTCAGATCCTTGCCTCCTCCCTCATCCTCGGACCCCTGTGAACACTGTCACACCAAGGTAACAAGGGGCCTTTATTTTTCTGACTCCAGCATTTATAGAGTTCCAAAAGTGACAGTGGATTGGAGGGTGAAAGTGTCACCTCTCCAATGACACTGGACAGACCAACAGTCTGTCAAATTTCTTCTCTTCTATAAAAGAATGCAAAACAATAAGTTATTTACATAAAGTGTATGAGAAAGATCATTACAAGAATATAAACATCAGAAGGCTTAGAAAATCTTAAAACATCAGGGCAACAGTATTGCACTCTCCTCAAGCCAGCCTTTTAAAATAACATGTTCAGATGCTAACCTGTGCCCCCCTCAATCTGCACCCCTCCAGCCTCTTCAGTCTGTGTGCTGTTGTTGCTGAGGTAGATGAAGCAAAGGTCAAGAAGTTGGTTTGTGACACTGTGATGTTTTTTCAAAGCTGTATGAACACTGTAAGTTTTTGGAAGCGTTGTTTTATCAAGCATGGTGCTGTCCCTTGAGCCCAGACCCCAGGCACCTGCTGCTCTCACAGGGCTGTGTTTGGATAACAGAGCTGGTGCCGCTCTCTCCTGAGGTGTGCAGGCTGCAGATCCCCCCTGTGCTCAGGGCATGGCCATCCCCAGCCAGCTGTGGCTCACAGGGCACCTCACCATGTTTGTCACAGCAGAACCAGGGTCAGAAATTAGCATAGCAATGTGCTCTTACAATACAGACCCATTTCCTGTGGTATGGGGGCTGGTTTTGGTAGCTATGTGTTGCACTACATAGCAAAATCCATCGAATATGTTTAAATTTTGTTCACCTGAAGTGGACTGCTGATGCCACTGTAGGAAGCATGGGAAGCAGTGTGAAAAAATGTGAAAATTTGGGTTGGGAGGGCCTACATCACTGATCCAGCTGGTTGGCAGCAGTAAATCTACATAAATATTGTAATTTATTGCCTGAATTATAAAAGGAGTGGAATATCCTTACCTCCTGTGGCCACAAATCCATTTGGGGATACTCAGCACTCTTAAACCATGTACATTTATTCACAAAAATCAATAGGGTATTTCTCACAGAATAAATCTATCCCTACCCTTTAACTTTTTTATTATATATTTGTTTTTGGTGAATGGCTGAGTCTTCTCACTCTTTGTCTCCCATTAAAAGATGGTGCATATGGTTGTTCTTCTTTCACCAGCTAATAAACTCTTAATAAACAGGACTGTTCTTCCCTGGGTTTTGCTAGGCTTTCTTTTTTTCTTTATTCCTTTCCATTCCTCTTTTCAACTCTCCCCTAAAGATTCAACGCATTAGAATCCCTATAAAAGGAGATGAATTAAAGAAAGTAAAACCCTTTTAACTCCAAGCTAATGTTTTAAGCCTTTAAGTGTTACCAGACATCTTAAAGAAAAATATGTCAATCAGTTCAACCTTTTTTCCTTTTCAACATTTATCTGGTTGGGACCAAAAAACGTTTATTTCCACACACTGAACAGCTGGGAGGATTTTCTGATTCTGTCTTTCCCTCTGCTCTTTTCTCCTTGTTTTCCTTGTTCTGTCACATGTATGTTCTATTATGGAAGCTTTTTTTTTGATCAGTCTGAAAAACTGAAGATAATTAAATTGTATTCAAATTATTTATTAGCTTTTCTTCCTAAGCACTTTGCAGTATGGTATAAAATAGATGAAGAAAATACACCAGTTGATGAAATATACATAGATTCAAAAGAAGTGTATGTGATAGTGTAATTTTCATGTCTAAAATTATTATCAAAAAAGGGAATTTATTCTGCCTGTAGTTATAGCATGGCCTGTATCTTCCTCATCATCAGAGCAATCAAACTCTATTTTCTGTTCTGTTCTGTGAAGAATTACTGCTTCTCTTGCCACCCCCCACTGACCAGGGCACAGACTAGAATCAAACTGAATGATCCTTGCACACTCCTTAAATGTGGCATGTTGCAATTATTAATAGCAAAACAAACTTGTCTGAAAATTACAAAGTTCTGGTCTTATTTACTAATTTTGTCATTAATTATTTTGTGAATTACTATTCACCAGGATTTTTATTGTCAACAACAGTAAAACTTCATTTACTGCCAGCTGGTCTTTGACACAGGCCACACAACTGAAACTGTTACCTCCTCTGTTTGTTTGCTGCTCTGTTTATTTGAATTGTTTTATGTTAGCTTACTGTATGTCAGCAGGTGCTGTTACACAAATCTTAAAATTCATCCCTTCCAGCACTCCCAAGGACAGTCCCTGCTTCTCTTAAGTATGTGATGATGACTGCTGAAACACTTCTGTAATTTCTGCTGGTGAATTCATGTGCTTTATCATGACCAGACAGTTTTTCTTTTCTGCCTTTCTGTATCTTGCTCACTGCACTGGAGGTTTTGGATAGGATATACTCTGCAAAAGCTTTGCATCAAGAGATCTTCATGTACAAGCATTTGGCCTACATTGTTAAAAAGTTGGATATGTAACTAATGCCTTTTAAGCTCCACTGCAAGATTCTTGATGCCCACGCTGCCATCTCTGAAGCCCAGATAAACTGGTCTGCCTGATCTGACATGTACAAACCTCTTGGGAAGGCCTCACAAAGCAGTGCTTCTCTAGTTCATCTACCAGCTGATTTACAAGGTCACAGACCTCATGGAAGTTGTTTCTCTTTCACTTGAGAAAGAAACCACTATACACCTTTGAGAGTAATGTGGGCAGAGAGGGGAATGTAATTAGAGAAATGGCTGTGATGACTTGGTAGCAGTCCCAGACCAGAAAAAATGTGTTCATATGTGTCAGCAAGTAATTAAGTCTTCACAAGAACAGAAGATGTCTCTTTGGTATCCAAAATATTTATCTCTGTACTAATTTTGTAGTAACTATACTGTGACATTGGACAAATCAATGCAAGACATCCAAGTATCAATCTTCTTTTACAAAATCCCATTATTGCCCTTTTTTTATTCCTAGGGCAAGAAATGGTCTTCATGAACATTATTTTGAATGTTTATGTTTGTTGCTATGTTAAGGGATTCAACCCTTTGTGGGCACTAATTCATTATGTTTCACACACACAGATAATTAATAATATTCAATGCATTTTGCAAGTATTAAACTGAGTGCTTGAGCAGTTCTCTGATACCTGGAAAATTACTGGAAGTGTTGAGAGGACAACCTGACCACTCTGATGAGAGTGTCTCTCCCTGTTTTCCAAAACAGAATGGTTTCAAGTTTCTTTGTAACTCTGGGTTTTATCCTGTGCTCACAATACCTCAGAAGACTTGGGCTGAAGTAGTTTGCCCAACCTGGTCTCCTTCCATCCATTAGGAAGATTCCTGTGGTAGTTACCCAGGCTGAGGATTTTTTTCTCACTCATTATCTTCTCCAATAACCTTCCTGGGTTACTTCTTGAATCCTAAATTCCCTCAGTAAATGTGGCATTCTTTCCTAAGGTCTTTGCACATGTCTATCTTCTGGGAGGTGCTCATGATTTTCCTACTGAAATTGGAGACTGCCCTGAAAACCAGAGAAAGGGAGCACTGCATAGTGAGTATATTGAGAACTCAGCAGGGATTATGTGACTCCAGAGGCCCATTGAGCCTAATTCTGTGGTTCTCTAAATAGGCAGCTGAACTGGAACAAAGAATATTTGCCTTTCTTGCACATGCTTTGGTACAGAAAGAAAGTCAAGGTTGGAGAGAGGTGCAGCCTTCAAAAGTCTAACAGAAGGTGGCCCTCCAAAAACACCTGGGAAGTGAATTGGCGGGATGGAAGGAGCAAACAGATGGTTTCCACAGATTGGGAAGTAGGGAAAATGAAAATTGAGCCCCCCAGCAAAACTATAGGGACTGCTTTAATAGACAAAAATACTGCAGAGTTCATTCACCCCTAGTCTCAGCTTCTTGCCAGCCTTCTGTGACCCCCACTCTATTTGTGTGCCTGAGTGTGAGAAGCATATTCTCACTTCTGTTTTCATTTTCAGGGTTAGCAAGATTTTTGACTTTTTGGAAAAATCAGCAGAAAACAGGGCACTGTGCAGTGAAATGATAGCTTTAACTGATGAAATGAACAATTTCAATCTTTTTTCAGTCTTGTTCTTTCATTTTGAACCTTCAACAGATTTAGTCAGGACCGCAGTTGAGAAACTAGTGCTTTCTTGCAGATGCTGCTTAGCTAAGTTCATTAAAGCAAAAAGCTCTGGTGCACTTCACTTACGTGGCTGCCTTTCACTTTAAATATTGATGCTAACTGCATTTCTTCTGAACCTGAATTCATCTCAGCATGAGGCCTGCACAATTGGAGATGTGGTAACAAAGTGCTGGCCATTACAGCAGCACAGTGAATGTTTCCTGCAGCCTCCAGAGCTGTCATTCCCCCTGCTCCCACCTGCACCTTAAGTTTCTTCCAGATTCCTTCCTTCTTGTTTCCATCCCTTGCAGCCATGGTGCATTTGCAGGTATTCCTGGGATATTGGGGTGGGTGGGAACTACAGTCCTTTCCCCCTTAGTCACAGACCAAGCTGTTGCTTTTATCTGTATCACCTGCATCAGCAGCATCAAGCCCATTTATGCCAGCATAAATGAGACATAGCAGCCATTGTTGGTGTCACTAAATTAGATTTATTGTAATAACAAAGTAATGTGAGCAAGTGTAAGTGAACATTAGGTACTTAGCGTGAGCATAAACGCTCTAGAAATCATGAGGAGGGTTTGGTACAATCTGTACTATTTCTGCTGCTGCCCTGGGAAACCATGTTCCCTGCCCTTCACTCACAGTCCCATTTTGTCAGGACTAGGCTGTAATAGGACAGAATTACTTTGAAAATGGTGTTGAAGCTCCAGTGTCATCTAGGCAGGTTTAAAAATTCTCCCCTGTTATGTTTCTTTGTAGAAAATGAGCTGCTTTCCTCCAGGTCCACCAGGAAGATCTTTTCTTACCTCTCCTAACCCAAGCAGAAGTCAATGCATTTGTTTTTCCAAATCTTGTTTATATTTGGCAGCCATATAAATTTGTTTAAAGTGGTTTTATTTATGTTTCTACTATGCATTTTAGTGCCTTTAGGTAACTTGTTACTAATGAAGATTAATCCTTCAATTAACTATATTTAGTTAGCTATCTGGCTTCTAAACATCTCCTCTGCCCTTCTCCCAAAATTAGCATAGCAGCTTCACCATTATTTTTCTTCTGTTTTCTATATTTTTTTTCTTGTATAGCTGTATTTAATCTGGGCAAGAGGAAGGGTCAGGCTGTGGGGCAGTCTGACACAAGCTTTGGTAATGGAAGAATCTTTCTTAGGACAAATGTGCTTTCTGGGAGCGCTGTGATTTCTTGTGAGATAAGGTACAAAAAGTATGTAAAGCTAGAAGAATCTTTCCTGCCTTAGCAGGTACTTACTTATAGCAATGGGTATTAATTATTAGATTAATTAATTGCACTAATTAATTATCTTACTATAGCAGAAGAGATCCAAAGCCTGAGTGACAGACACAAACAAGGAACAGTTCAACTTACCCTCAATGGGCACAATTTTCCTTTGTGTCCAAGCTGAATTATGTTCTTGATGTCTTTATGTTTGGTGATGCACAGCCTTCAGCCTCCCTCAGTCAGAGAAGGCAGCTGCCACTCCATAAAACACCATGGTGAGAGCTGTGTGAAAGACCTGGTGCTGAACCCAAGTTAGGCAAGCTTCTTCAGCTGGGGTTCTGTCTTTTTTTTCACTTCTTACAGATGTGAAATTCCTGTCAAATTTACTGAAAGCAGTAATGTGTCTCCAAGGAATCATAACTGATTGATGTTTCAACACTTGACTTAGGCAAATAATTGATGATGACTGTTGAGTTTTGCTTTGAGATTTGGGTTCAGTTAAATGTGACACTTGTGAGATTCATCACTGAGTACAGCCAGAGGAACCAAAGCAGGAGAGAAAACTCACACTCAAAAGCCTTGAAAATGTGGGGTTTAGTCTTCTTTCTCCTGAAAAATATTGGAGAGGCATCTCTAAGTGTTGCAAACACACAATCAAAGAGGTGGTTTGATTCAACCTAAAAAGGTGGGGAGTGGCATATCAAATCCATTTTCCTTGCATGGTAGACCATGCCAAACACCTAAGAGCCATATCCATGCAGGATAAGGGTCCCTCCAACCAAATACCTCATTGTCAGCCTTGATCATAAAACAACAAGTGCTGGAGGGAGTACCATATGTAACGCTTCTTCCCAAACATACCAAAACTTGACAACAACAATCAGTGAAAACAGTTTGTAACACATCTCTGGAATGGAACAGTCATCCAGACTTGCTGTGCCATTTTTTGTGTGCACAGGTTGTTGGATCATTTCTTTTCCTCTAGTTTTCAGTTGTGTTGGAAATAGGAGATGGATGTGGTCAGTTATGCAGACCATCCCCATGCACATTTGATTTACCATTCTGTTGCTACTCCACAGTTTGAGATGCTGACGGGATCATTACCCTTCCAGGGAAAAGACAGAAAGGAGACAATGGCACTCATTCTCAAGTGAGTATCAAAACTGCTTTCATTCTTCTAACTGCGAGTTAACTGTACCCTTGGGAGACTCCAGAGGACCCAAGTATTTGATGAGTAGAGAATAGTGATGGGTGTAATGAACTTTGCGAAGCCATGAAAGGTGCGAATTTAGTAAGACATGTAAAGCTGATGCCTGTGTTTAAAATTGCCTTCAGATTGAACAGTAGGAAGTGAATTACTGAGAGGACCTACAAAACAAATTTATCTTACTTTTTGTGACAATGTCAGTATCCTCAGAATGTGGGAAAGTCAGATTTCTGCAGGACATCTTATATTTTGCTGTTGCCAAGTTTCAAATCTTTTCCTTTGCTGTGTCCCATTCATTTAATGTTAAATGGAGACAAAGGTATCTGAAGCTCAGGTTTGCACTCTAGTGCATTTTTTTTTCTGTAGTGGTGAATGGCCAAGACAAAAGTTTTATTCTCTTTAAACAGTATGCAGTTTAGTATATGTTTTTTTCATTAAGTTTGATTGTTTAAATTCCTCTTGATTCCCTAATTTATTCTAGCAAACTGAAAAAGTGAAAAAATTCTGTAAGAAAATTAGCTGTTGAGGTTGCAAAAGTTTTATGAGATTCATTCAAGCTGCTCTACCTCTAGAGACATCAATGGTATAACCTTCCTTAAGATCAGCAGAATAAGATCACCTTCTCACTCTGCATTATGCTTAGGTAGCCTTTGGTCATGGATTTCATGTGTCTGCCCATCCTGATTGCTACAGTTCAGCTGTTTCCACCACATTGGGATGGAAAAAAAGCTTGAAAAATCTATTTTCTTTTCAAGTGTTGTGTTCTTTCAGAGCCAAGCTGGGAATGCCACAGTTTTTGAGCATAGAAGCCCAGAGCCTGCTGCGAGCCCTCTTCAAAAGGAACCCCTCCAACAGATTAGGTACGTGTGGTTTGGTCAGCACATTCCTTATGTGCTCCCTGCCTTGTCAGGGGTGAGCTGTACCTCTCAGCTCATCTTTTCCAGTGGTTATCCTCTTCATTAGGTGGCATTTGGCATTCCTTGCCAGGGCACAGTGAGCCTTCATTATCACTAGAGAAATTTGTAAGGAGTACAGGCAAAGCATTGAAATCTAAAACAGGATGTTAACTTGTGTTTAATTGTTTTGGTAAAGAGAGTGAGTGAACTGCCAGCTTTTATGAATGATTTAAGGTATCTGATGTGTATGATAATATAGGGAACTGAGAAATTAGTGTGGTTTAAATCTGTATAATTTAGCTGCAAATCTCAGGTTTCATCTCTCCCATTCTCAAATGCATTTCAATCCTGTCTCATTCTGTTAGCTCTTGCAGTAGACTTTATTCTTTATTACCCAAATACGTCATCTACTGTTTACTGATGTTGATGCCCTGGAGTGGCTACCTAAAACAGAGGCTAGAGAGAGTTAAGAGAATAAAGTGGGTATTTATTAAAGGTCTTTAATAGATACACCTTGGGCAGTGCAAAAGCCTCGCAGAGGCTACACCCAAGATGGACAATGGTCATGAGATTTTCAGACAGTATAAGTTTGGTCTATTTGCATATCAGGGGTTAATTCTCCAATTACAGCGTCAGGTACTGAAGCCATATTCCCCCAGCTCACTCCCCACAATTCACTTTTGTTTATACTTTTTGGGGCCTGAGGCTGTGGTGTGTCCTTGGATCTCAGGCCTGCAGGGATTGTTTGGTTTTGCAAAACATGAAGGCAATTAACTGCGCTTTATATGGAGTTTAGACCTATGCATTGATGCAGGATAGGATTGAAAGATATAAAAGCTAAAATCTTAGGGCATCAGTGTGTCTTCATCCTTTGTTTAGATTGTGATAAACTTAATGTATATATTGGGTAATGTATCTGATGTCCTCTGTACCTTTGTTTACAGGTTTTATTAAGAAATTAATTGCATTTGATGAGGTCGTAGACAATGCCTATGGCATGACTGCCACTGCAGATTTTGTCCTTGTTCCCCACAGGCATGTGGGGAGAGCCCACTCAAGCCCAGGGCTGGTGGCAGTGGGGAGCCAGTCCTGCAGCCCCTCACTGTGTCACTGTGGCCCCTCTCCTGCCAGGGGGATCCCTTGTGGCCCAAGAGGGAATGCCTTCCCATTGGTTTTACCTCTTGATCAAAATGGTAGCCTTGTATTCTGACGTACTGCCAACACAAGAGTAGAAAAACACATTTTCTCTGCAGGTTTCAGTTGCTCTCAAGAAATTTGTTTTACACTGAAAAATATCGAGTATTGGGATTTCTCTCTTGAGAAGAATTAGGTGCTGCACTAAATATGAACTTTTTCCCACTCCCTACCTCTGTTTCTTTCTGCTGTTTCCTCCTTGTCTCCATCTCTTGGTTTTATGCTGCTCTGCATGTTTTGTGGCTTCTTACAAGTTGCTATCCATCCAAATGGAGCTCCAGTGAAGTCAGTGGGAGTTTCTGGATACCAGTCCTTAAAAAACTGCTCACTAAAAATTTGTTTTAGCCAAAACAATTCTAGCCTTCATATTTTAATAATTGGAAATTGCTAGGTGTCCGGTTTTCTCCCCCCGAAAGGTTTTGGTGATTCGAGTCCGTCCAGGGACGCCAAGTGTCCGGTTTATCTCGGCTGTTTGAGGGGCCTGGAAGGCCCGGGGGTGGCCTTGGGGCAGCCCGCGTGTCGAAGGACGAGAAGAGGCTTCAGTTCTTCTTTCCGGTTTTATGTTTATTAATTGTTTATCTAAAAGATGTTCTTTCAGCCTAACAAAGATCCGCTCAGCAGTCAGCCATGGGCACACTGTCTCTGCCCTCCGGGGCAGGCACCTATCTTTATACCCATTGTGACGTGTACAATATTTATCATTTTTCCCCAATACCATCTATTCTTATAACTCGGTGTACTCTCAGTACTAACCAATCCAAAGGTGCCACCGTGGCCAAAGAAGATGGAGGAGAAGAGGAACAGAAGGAGGACAGGACACACCCCAATTCCTCCATCTTACTCCTCCAAACCCCCCTGTACATAAATCTTAAACCTTGTGTCTCACTCTCTAATTAACTAATCCCTTCACCATTCACCCGGTGAAGCCCTCATCCTTGTCGTCTCCTGTGCAGGACCAAAGTCCAGCCACCAGACACTTCTGGCAACATTCCAGGAGTCCCGAGCCCCCCCAGGGTCTCGGTGGCTCAGCATCTCAGGACTGAGATCTTGAGATCCGACAGCTAGGGGCCAGGTTTTTAAAACCTGAGGTATATTGAAATACTGGGAAGGCTTGGAGGAAAGAGAGAGAGAAAGAGAGAGAGAGAGAGAGAGAGAGAGAGAGAGAGAGAGAGAAAGACAGAAAGACAGAAAGAAAGACAGAAAGAAAGAGAAAGAAAGAAAGAAATTATAATACAAATGCCCAAGGAAATAAAATCCTAAAGGGTAACAAAAAAATGGATCTTATTATTTCAAGGATAACAGTGGAAAGCTCCTGAAGGCATTCTCTGTTTCAACTGATCGAGAATCAGCACAAAGGAAGATGGAAAGGAACCTGTTGATAGCAAAAGAAGAAAAGCTTGAATAGTTGGCCTAAATACTGAACTGCAGTCAGTAGATAAAAGGACTGCTTCAGCCTTGTGGTTTTAGCTTTTTCTGGGAAAGGAATAAAAACATTTAAAGAAAAGTAGACCTAGACATCCCAATTTGAAAAATCTTACAAAAATTAATGAAGCATGCTAAAATAAATGAACCATATCAACCAGATCAAACACTCTATTTCAGTCATTGTTTCATAAATCTGCAAATATGGAAATTGCATTTAGTTCCAAAATCCATTTTTAAACATTTGCAAGATAAAAGATGCTCTTTTTGCCATTTGATTTTGGTGTTTTAACAAACAGAAGTAAAGATTGATGATGTATTCTGAAATTTTGCTTTGAAATTGTGTTTTGAAGCTTTGAATTATTAATGGAAGAAATATTAGGGTTGAAGCAAGTTAGACAAGACTGAAAAGAAACTTAGTAATCTGATTTACCCGCTTCTCTTTTTAAGTCTGATTCCCATATTAATATTTGCGATGAATTTTTTAAGGAATGGAACATCTTCCTTTGGTATCCCTGTTTTTGGGCACTTTTTGTTCTTTTCTGAGCCTGTTTGCTATACAAATAATCTGCATAGCACTGCTTTAGTAGTATTGCTCTAACAAATTCCAGATTATGCATAAGCATAATTTTAAATTCTTAAACTAACTGAATACCCAGACAAATAAGGAGTAAGCACTAAGAAGTAAAACTTTAGGATGAAAGTGTTAGTTTGTTACATTTCCAGGAACTAGATAAGAGACTTGCTCTAAGGCCTGGATCTCTCAGGTGGATAAATGAGTTATTTATTATTTAACATTATTATTTAAGAAATAGAAATTAAAAATTTATTTTATATAAAAAACATGTTATCTAACAAACTCCCTATGCTGCTGAGCAGTATGAAGGTGTCCAGGGTCCTTATAATTGAGAAGCACAACCAAGAAAGTTTAAAATAAAAGCATATGCCCATAGGCTCAGAGTAAAAGCCAAGGAAATCATTACTGTTTTCTTAATCCCATGTTCTCAGGTATGATATATTCTGCTTAGGCACATAGAAAACTTCAGGCTTTAACTTTTTAAAATGATGAGTTCAAACAGAAAACAGCTTTCACCTTTGTCAGAGTGACTGTAAAGCTTTCTTTTAAACTTTAGAAAAGCACCTCAATAATTCTAGCTCACTAAAAAGATTCTGAAGCTGTAGAGACACTAAAATTTTATTATCTGAAACCGAAAAGCTAGAAACTCTTTCTGATGGATTTGGATATCCAAATAACCAACCTTCAGGTTTCTTTGGTCTTCTTTTTCCCCCCTTAATATTTCAAGGCTCGTGTTGGTCATAATGATTCAGTAATCAAAACTAATTAAAAATAAAACATTCTACTCTTACTGTTTGGAGGCACTTTTATTGCAGGCATAAAACTTAGATAATTAAGTTCTCAGTAATGTGAGGCTGCTTTTATATAAATGCACTCATTATAATATGTTTAAACTGGCAATTTGATCTGAAAGAATTTTTTATCTTCTCAGACCCTCATGGGACTGGATGGCACGTAAGAATATTGGCAGGCAATAGTTTGATTGTGCTGATTAGTCTTGATTGATAGGTCTTATTACCAAATTGAAGTTAAAAGCCCCAAACTCACTTGAAACCTTGAGGAAGGTGAAAGGTTTGTGGTTGTACAGTGTGCTGGTGCATGCTGTGCTTCAGATGTTTGCTGAATATCCATCTCTATGCCAGGAAATGTCCATCCCCATGCAGGAGGCCTTTCCAGTCATGGCCTTTCTTTTCTCCATGAAAGCACATCTCTTCTCAGTACCCCTGTAGATCTGCAGGTGGTAGATGAGTGGCTGAAACATGCTGAGCAAATCCAGAGAGACTCCACTATGAGCGCTGGTGCCCAGTGTCTCCCAAGGACTTTTGCAGCGAGGTCAGGGCTGTCCTCCTGGCTCCCAGAGCTGTTCCTGAATGCACCCTTGGGCCACAGCTGAGGAGAGGGCCAGGCCACATGCTGCTGCCTGCAGCCACAGCACACAGTCCAGGAAGGGGTTGTGGGCTACACCAGCAATCCTCATGGCAGGGAAGGTCAGGGAATAAAAACTACAGGAAGTGCGGAACCTTCTCCATAGCCTAAAATCAGTTGCTAAGAATTGGAAGTGAGCCACTCCTTGCAAAATGAGGCTATTGCCATCCTAAATCCCTTTAATATATTAAGCGCTTGCACTTTACAACATATTCCTTATGTGCCAAAGCTGAGATAGCCCCAACTGGGAAATGAAACTTTTTCAAGCAAATGTCTGCCTCAACTGCCTTGCTTGCATTTCTTACCAAACATTGCAGCCCCCACTAAAAGAAGTAGCTGAGGGTGAACTTTGTTTCTTAGTCCTTATTTCTGTAGGTTTGTGGGAAAAGGAAGAACAACAGTAGCAAAAATTGTCTTTCAAATAGATTATCTGAAAAAAAACCATGTCATTCTCAACACACAATGACATGTCCATTAGGCTAAGCAAGAGAGAAAACAGAAGCAGTGGGGAAGGGGCAGAGCAGAGAAAATGGAATGCATTAGCGATTATCCTCAGTCTAGCTTATTCTACTAGTGTCTTACAGTGTCTGAGCATTTATCCCAGCCCTGCAAAATCAGTCTGGCACTTGGGTTTCCTCCTGATGTGGTAAAGGACATTTACTGCACGTTGCAGTTTCCAATTGCCACCACTGAACTCAAAGCACTTTTCACAGATATTTCTTTTCAGAAGATTTGCTTAATGTAATTCTCTTCAGAGTAACTCTGTTGGTTTTGTCTTTCTGTTGGCATTGATAAAATCAAAATGAATCTGCCAAGGGAATCTTGCAGACTTCAGACCGTGCATTGAACAAAAAATATGCTAGGGAAGTAATAGAACAGGTCCTATTCTAAGATTTCTTCTTTTCTTGTTCAGTACCCATGGACCACAACTGCCTAGGGGCAAGTAAGAACAGGATAAACATATGTTGTTTCACCCAAATTTTCTCCTACCCCATTCCTGTTTTAAGGTCAAGCAAGGGGTTTTTTGAGCCTCTTGTGGTTTGTTGATGAAGTAATCTTCAACAGATTTCTTTTCAACAGACTTTCCTGGCCTCCCCATGAACCCATAAGGGTATTTTGCACCACATCATCTTTTCCAAGTAATTCCACATCACACGACTGTCTGTTTCCTGAGGAAACATCCCCAGGTTCTTCTGAACCTCATTCCTGTTGGCATCATTTAGTGATCTGTTTTATACTTCCTTGGTCATCTGTTTCCAGGCTGAAAAGTTCTGACTTACTCAGTCATTCCATAACATTCTTTGTTGGCCTTTTTTGGTTTTTTCTAACTTTAATCAGGATACCATTTTACAAAGGAGTATGTCAGCTACAATCTGTACTCCAGTTGCAGAAATGCAACAGACTTACACAGTGACAGTGCAATGATGTTGTCACTTTTGTCCTCTTTTTCTAAGGTTTGATTTCATGTTGTGTTTGCTTAGAACTGTGTCTGTCACAACTTACAGACTCCTCAGTGGGGCTGATCACCTCTGAACACATAATTCTGTATTGCAGGCTAGGATTGTTCATCCTCATGTGCATCACTTGTGTTTGCCTGTACTGAAAGATTACTGGGATGGGGAATTAATCAGGAGATCATCCCTCTTCACTGTTTTCCAGCAGGCCTGCATGTTATGTTTACAAAGTGTTTGCTTCCCATATCCACTCATCAGTGAATGTTAAGCAGGTTGTAGGGAGCAGTTCCTGATCATTGCATTTTGACAAACATTGATAACAGTCTTGTACACAAGGAGAGCAGACATCACAATTTACCAACGCTTCAGCTGACAAGGCCTTTGTAAAGCTGCTTGTAATGTTGATCTTCCCAAAGTAGAAATATTGTGTAAAAAGCTGAGTCCTCTGAGGTGCTGAGGGCCCCTTGCAAGGTGCTTAGGAATCCCAAATCCTTTTGATAATCAAAGTTGCTCAGCATGCTTGAGAAGAAGTAGGCTGGGTGTCCTTCAAGAGCTGATTCCAGAGTTGCAGTGCAAAGCCTTTGCTTCCAGAGTTTAATTCTCCTTGAAATGAAAATGAAAGGTGCTAATAATAAGGTCAAATCCCCAAAAATGGCATTCTAAATCCTCTCTGACAGTTCTTTTAATTATTACTGAGTACTGGTTTGGTTCTCTGACAGCACTGAAGCAAATAAATTGAGCTAAAGGAATGAAAAAGTCAATATTCAGTGAAAACATAAGGCAAAAGTAATGAAGGAATTAGATTCATTACCAGATCTCAGAAGACTTTCCCAAAATTTCCTACAGTAATGTAACAGAAATTTAGTAGTGAAGGAAACATAACACTGAGTGATGATTTTGGTACTCTTTGGTACTGTGAAGAGGGGGAACCTAAAACCCTGGCTTACCTCAAATCATTTTGGAGCCTTTTGGAATTTTGAGTCTATACTTGCCTGTAGTGCAGCTTTCTGTGCCAGTGGAGAACAGTAGCTAGTCAAGATTTGAAAGTCAGTGTGGATGGAAAAGCTGCCACTTCAGGTGGAGCCTTGCCAGAGTATCGGGATACCCTGGGGCCTTTCCTGGCCGTGCTGATGCAGGCACTCTGCTGTGGCTAAAATCCCATGTCTCACCCAAAGCCTCACTCAGAGAAAAGTAAAAGACCCTTGGAACCAGAGTCTCATTAATGAAGTGCCCTTGTCTGTATCTATGGCACTTTATATGTGATGGCACTTGCACCATTCAGAGTTTCTTGACCAGAACTGTTTAGGTGGGGACTCTGACTTTGTCAGAAGAAAAGTGAGGATGGGGAGGGAGAGTGGAGAAGAGACATCATACAGTTCTCTTATAAGCATGACCTAATTTTGATTCTTTCATTCTCTTCTCAGGCGCTGGATTTGATGGAGTGGAAGAAATTAAGCGTCACCCTTTCTTTGTTACTATAGACTGGAATGTAAGTGGAGCAGCATTATTTTATTTTTTGGCTACATTTTTTGAAAACAAGCTGCCATGCTTAGGAAAAGGCTTACTTTCTCTAACATAGAGAGCCTAACTTCTCTAACACAGAGGAGTTAGAGCCTTTTCAGTGGGTGCCTCTGTCTCTCTTGCATGCATGTTGGCACCAGTACTCAAAATTGGAACAGTTGATCAAATTAACATGATTCAAGTAAGACATGTCAGATGTGATTAACAGAAAGGTAAACAAGGATTTATTTTATTGCTATCAGCTACAGCTCATAAAGGTGGTGGTGCAGATTATCTGAATATTTGATTTGGACTCTTAAGAGGTTAAATCTCACATTTTCAGCATCATAATTGTTCAAATTAACTTATTCTTAGACAAACCTGAAGGCAAACATTTTTCATTCTTGATCTGGACATCTGCCAGTGCACCAGAGCTGCTGTTTACCACATCCCTTAGCATTTTCTAGTTTAATTTTATCTGACTTGTGTTATGGTATTACTGTGTCTCTTCAGTATTTGATGCATTCACTCACAAGTGATAGTACAACAGGTAACATTGATGCAGTTGTTACCAGAAACTCTAGTAAAACTGTGTGAATTTATGTGACAGAGCCATTCTCAAATTGCTGCTCAAGACTTTGCAGAGAAGCTCATTTCTCTGTGAGAGAACATTTTGTGGTGCCCAGGTAGCCTTTGAAAGGCCCACAAACCCATTTATTTTCAAAAAAACTCATTAGAAAAATCTAATTTGCGTTGCATGTTGAAAAGTTGTCATGACTCATAAATATATTAGAACATAATTAATGAAGGTGGGTTTTGAGACTTTCCTCGGTAGTCCAGCTGACTTTTAGAGCCATTAAATGTGCTGTGAAGTCTATGTGTCTTTCCTTTTCTGTTTCTTACTAATCATGAGATTCTGTATGAAGACTTTACATTTATGAAAAAAGTATGGGAAAATTTAAAAAATAGGGGATGCAAAGACTGGGGTTGTTGATGATGATGATAATTATTAAATCTAATATTAATATCAATAACAATAATATTGTTTTCTATATTACCCCAATATCTCTGCAGTCCTCAGCTGTTCAATCAAAATACAGATCAGATAACTACATCTTGATGTAATAAGAAACACTAAAACAGTGAGAGGGTTTTTCTTCTGTGTTTGCTAGGGAGCAGCTCTCTAACTCATCATAAATAAATGAGGCTCTGCATCTTGGAAAGATTTTCAGAAAAGTCAATTCTGTCCCATGAGAATACTCAAGACCACCTTCTGTCATGATAATTGGTGATTGTTTCAAGCTCTGTTCTTTAGGGAACAATTTCATGCCTGTCCTAAGGAAACTCTACTGTCCTCCATCATTTGAAAAAGCTCTTATGGACAGGAAAATATCTACCACGAAGAAGATAGGTGTGCTTGAGCATGCCTTGGGGCTAGAGAGGAAGGTGAATTTAATTGCCTTTAGATGTGTTATCCAGGCCTCTGACTCTGCTGTGAAATATAGCTGTTAAAATCCATTTTAATCCAACATAATTAGTGCTTATTGCACTCTCTCAGAGACAGATCACTATTACACCGATCAGCTATCATCTTTGTAATATATTTTCTCATTTTATTCTGATTTTGCAATCACTCAACGAGATCTTGGGAGGCTTATCTGGTTCCTGCAGTACTGTATGCATTTCAGAGCAGTGTGAGCCTGGCCCTGAGCTGAAGCCAGAACTTTGACTCTCAGTAATCATCCAACCAGTTGTTAACATGTTGTCCATGTGCAGAAGGAGACCAGGGTCACAGAACAGAAATGGATCAGACATAGATGTTTCTATCTATAGCACTGATCTCTGTGCAGCTGGAGGAAAAGAGTCCCTGGTGCCCTCATTTTGTTCTCCCATGATGTGTACAGAATCTCCCACATCACTTTGCAGACACTCAGCAAACAGCACTGTTGAGAAGGAACAGAAATGATGATTTACTTTATGCTTTGGCAATATAAAGACCTCACAGAGACTTTTGGAGAAGTTCTGTGCTACCTTAGCAGCTCTGATAGACAGGACTGCTGTGACTGACAACACAGAAAATTTCAGCAACTGTAGTAAAACCAATCCTCCTCCAAAAGCCCCCTTATCATGAAGGGTAAGAATGGGTCAGTGTCTCCCAGAAATGCAGTGTGAAACAGGTTTGCTTTTAAGCATGATTTTTCCTACAAGAGCGACATGATAACCAGGAACAAAGCACCAGGTTGCATCATCTAATTTTAAAGAGAGATTCAAAACAGAAATGAGTTAGCTTTTTCCTTCTAAGTCATATGTGATACTAGAACTGCAGATGGAACCCTGTGACTCAGGCTTTCCTTTCACTGTATTTTCAAAGCTGTTCCCTTGGGGTTTGGATTGGAGCTGGTTATTTTCTCTGTCCCTGAAGTGTTTACCTGTTTGGGGCAATCATTTCCCATTTTTTACTGCCTTCACACAGACACAGCCAGATCCAGTGTCTGGTTTGGATGAACACCCAGTGGCAATAGCACACACAGTGCAGAACAGCCCCTGTCACCATGCTGCAGATGCTGCTGGTGCCGTGTGACCACTGCAGGCAGAGAGGCACCAAGGGCAATCCTGGAAAACATCCATGTGGCCAGGGAACCCTCCTCCTCCTGGCCTTTCCCAAAGCCATTCCCATGTTCCAGGGTGCCATCCTTCAGCAAAATTGCCAGCCATCTTAGGTTTAACTTCTGGCTAACTTCAGCACTAAATGAACTGTGGACAATCTGACGCAGTTTTTTGCCCAGACTTAAATGGTGGCATGAGACTTGCTAAGACTCACATTTTTACAGCTGTTACCCTGTAACAAAGCCCTAAGTTCCCACTTTCCAGAGTGAAAAATAGCTGGAGGTTTCTGCAAATACCAGTCTTGCTGCTCGGAGGTATTTAGCAGGCACCATGACGTAAATTCAATAGATCTGTTGTTACATGAATGGACTGTCTTTCATGATCAGGGCTGGGATGCTCAGGAGAGAGATTAAATGTCCAGCTCCTTGACAGTTTTATCTGCTTATTAACCTTGCACCTCATTTTCTTCTTAAGACAAGCAGGCCCAAAACAAGTTGACCTCAAATAATTTAAGTGATTGGCTCTGAGAAAGCACAGTCTGCTTACTGATTTTTTTACTACTGTTTCTTCTTTCCAGATCATGCATAATGAATTTCTGGCTTTTCATTGAAAATGAAAGATGAAATCCCTTTTTGCAGACTCCTGTCTGAGGAGTAGGTTATAAACAGTAGTTTATGTTGGGATGACAGACTAAATTGGAACTAGAGAAAATGACATGCTTGAAAATGATTTGTCAAATGCAGCTGAGGAAAGGAGTGGGAAGAAAGTGGATTCCAGTTCTTGTTCCTTTAATATTAATCAGAGATCAAACTGAACTGAAACTGTGAATTATTTAATTGCCGATTTTACCAACAGCAAAAAATTATTCCTAGGGTCTGAATTCTGCTAGCTTTTCTGTCATTTGCAGGCAATAACATTGAGTCATTAATCTAGGAGAGGACAAGAATTTCAGAATGTAGTTCATCCTTTTGTCTGCTTATTGGATTTGCCATGACAGGTATATGTATCAACGGAGTTCGTTCTCACACTACAAGTGCACCACTGTGGAGGGCAGCATCTTTCTATTTCTAGAAGGTGTCTGAGGAATAATTCAATTCTTCATCAAAGAAACTCAGTTGAGGAAATGACTAAATAGTTTTTAATGAAATTAAACCATTTTTTTTTCTTGATATTTGTCAGACACATGTACAGAGCATTTACATCTCTGGGGTTTTTAGGAGTGTGGGGTTTTTTTTTTAAATGATGAAAAATTAACTACTTATAAATAAGAAGAGAAGGAAACACATTGTTGCAGCATTTTATTACTAGTCTCTCTTGTGTATTACTTAAGTTCCCACTGAGGAGGTGTTCAGATGAAGATCATGCTAGTGATGTGGCGGTATATTTTTAGAAAAGGTCAGTGGCACCTGTATGAAAATTAGTTTTATCAAATAAAAGTGGTTTTGTCTGAAATCAAAAGGAAAGTCAGTAGAAGCTTGTAGTTTCTTAAACTGCTATAGAAATGGTTTCTAGTTAATTCATAGGTGCTTATTATGAAAGTTTCAGGAGAATGCAAGGGGTTGCTAGTCAGGAGCATGGATATGCATCCAGGTGTGAATATCTAAATCAGTGTTTTCCTGGAGCCCATCTGCCTTGTTCTATGGATTATGCACTCCCTCAATACAGCCTCTGGATCCCACAACACTGTGTGTTTTACAGTGATTCCTCATACCTGTCAGTCACATTTTTCTGTGCTGAGTCAATGCAGTTTAAACTGTGGCCAGTTTAAAAAAATTGGTGGTGGAATGTGGGAGCTTATTCTTAACTGGGAAAGAGAAATAAATAGTATTCTCTTTAAAACATTGAGGGCTAAGGAGTGCAATTCTCTTTTATAGAGGTGGGAACAATGTGGAAGGAAAAAAAATCCTCAGCTTGTTGTCTTATACCTGTGCAAGACAACAAACATGTAATGTATAATGTATAATTTCAGCCTGAAATTTAAATGCTGCAGTTATCACTATGCTATACAAATTCTATTTTAAATAGGAACAATAGTAATAAGATGCCCCAAAAGAAAAAATTGGATATCAAAACTGGAATTTAAACCAGGAAAACCGGGACCCTGTTCCCATTTAAACAGATGATGGAACTCGCTGTAACTTTTGCACACAGTACTAGGATTACCATGACTTAGAAAGTACATAACTGCTTAAACTTAAAAGTTATGGACAGTGTGAAGAAATGGCAAGAATTGAAATTTAGTTTGCTGTCATTTCCTACTCTGGTTGGTTTTTGCCGGAAGAAGTCACAGTCAAGGTCCATCATCCCTGAATAATTTGGGGACCGTGGTAAGAGATAATATATTCATACATGTCCTAAAATTAGAAATATTCTTGAAATATCCAGAAGGATCTCAAATCCTCCAGGAGATTCTCTGTCTATGTGTATACAAAGCAATGGCTGTGATTCTTACTATTTGTTTAGATCAGCTTGTGCCACAATGAGTTTTGCAGTCTACAGGATGCAGGCTTTTAAAGGAAGAGTTGCTCTGCCTGCAGCAGCCTTTGTGTTTAATTGTGTTGGGCTGCTCTGTGGTTTAGGGGTTTGGCTTGGGGGGCTCACTCAGAGAACTGGAGCCAGTGTGGGATGGAGAAGTCCACAGATGATGCTACTCTGCTTTTCCTGGTCCTCGGTGATTTCCTTTAGTTACCCTATGCAAGAGCTTGGGGGAAAAAATGTTTTAGGCAGCTTACCTTTTGCTGTTCTGTTGTCTAATTTCTATCACAAGTGGGTAAGGAAATGGAAAAGGGATCTCACGATCCTCACGATCAATCTTAAATCCTTCCCTAGTAGTGGAGGATGTGGGTTAGGGATTCAAAATACAAATGTAGCTCCAGCAGCACTTAAGAAAGTACAGATGGGGGAAGGAATTAAGAGGCCAGAGAGAATATGGTTACGATAATGAAAAGAGAGTGCAGTTCCTGAATGATGTACAGCTCTGAAGCATTTTCCAATTTTTGGACCTCACAGGATGAGCTGTGCAGTTAATTCCGTGAGGAAGCATGTGCATGTGACCATATTGCTTTCTGCAGCAGAAGCACCGCAGTTGTGAATTAAGACAAATAAAGGGGAGCTGGGAAGCAAATAGCCTTCTCAAGGTGAAATCCTAGCAGCAGAAAAACCTTCAGTAGGTGCTGAGTTCTCTTGTAAAGTTCTGTGCAGGCAGAAAAAGATGTATGTTAATTACTAGGTTGATACTGTTCAGCTGATGAGTGACACTTCCTGCATAAGATTGCAATTGGCTTTTAATTATTTGGAAGACTGGCTTTCCATTGTGGCTCACAGCAGTTACTCATCTCCTTTCCTCTCCGAAGACATGGAGCAGTTTTACGCAAGCAGGAACTTTTTATGGTGAAATGGCCATTAATTATTGCAGAGTCATTTCCAACCTCACTGTTTCACTTTCCCAAGGAATCATAACTCAACCACAAATATATCCTTTATGTTAAGGTTTATGTTAAAATTAATGCTATGCTACAGAATGTTCTCCTTCAAGAACCTTTATTTATGCAAAATCATGAACCTTTATGCAAAATCAAATTCAAACTATGGTGATGGGTATATGTCTTAGATTTGACCACATGCTTTGTATTAAAGAAGTTAATTCCCCAGAAAACACACAGTTAAAAAGAATCTTCCTGCATGCAGGAAGCTGGAAAAGCATTTAGAAATGTCCATTAAACATTTTGAAAAATCAGCTCATTAGGAAGTTGTTTTAAGAGCTAACCTAAAAATACATATTGCAAACAGTCATAAAGTTGAACTTTCCTGTTCTTATCATGACTTGAAAGTTTGCATTAAATGTATTTATGCTCAGACATGTTAATTATGGGGAACTCTCTGTGGCAACTAATTCAGCCTTTGAAACCTGAGAACAAAAGCATTGCTTGAAAGGAAAAGCAGTCTAGGGACTGCAACACAGGGCAGGGAGTCGAACTGGAGCTCTGTTCCCCACGCTGCCATCAGCACAATGTTTGTTTTTGGCCATTTCAGGCAGAGATGATGCAAAGATGGCTGAAATCAGTAGGGCTCTTTCCATTAACCTCTACAAGCTTTGGATCAGATCCAGACATCCTCACCTCAGTGTGCTTGTCTGTGTGTGTATGAATGCTTGCAATGGAGCACGAGGTAGCAATTTCTTAAAGATCTCAGAGAATGAGTAGAAAGGCCACGAAGTCCCTCATAACAAAGGCAGGATGTATTAGGATGAACTTGTGGTGCTGTTACCTAGGTGATTCCCCAACATGGCTCCTCAGTCAGCAGCAGAAACACACACGCCTAGAAGCAGTTACCTGTTATATACCTTCCTGTCTTTTGTTTTTTGTTTTGTTTCTCACTTCAAGCCACAAGTAGAGCTTCAGTATGGTTGCCCACCCATCCACAGTGCTTGCTTCCTAGCATTTTTGATGAGAATTTCATGTAATCATCAGCTGTAAACCCCCTTACCTTTTACCAGATATGCTAAAAGAACAAGTCTCTTGTTTAGGTTGTAAGGACCAGGCAGCCAAGCCTGTTGCTCAGCTCAGTCTGGCAGCACATCAAACACATTTCTGGTTCTTGCAAATAGCAAATGCTAAAGCAGTCATGGCTTCCTAGAAATTCTTTGTGCTGGTTGCCATTGCTGCGCTGCTGAAGTTACCCTGTTTCCTGCTCTTACCATTGCACATTCCAGTCCTGCCCTTAGACCAGTGAATTTCCAGATGCCTCAGCTTGAAGTACTGTTCCAGCCTATGGGCTAAATTTTTGCCAGGAACATTTGTGTTTATATTCAGGATTTCGGCAGCTAAAATGTGTAGGGACCATCCAGGGCACAGATTTTAAGCCGAGCGATAAAGCAAGAGCCAGAACCACAGCTTCATCATCCTTGTCTGTCAGGCCTGCAAGGATAGCATGGAGCTGAGAGAGGACACCCTAAAGAATGCTGAGAGTGTGCACAGTGATGCTGATTGTGGTCTGTTTTTCTCCTTGTAGAAACTGTACAGAAAAGAAATCAAGCCGCCTTTCAAGCCCGCGGTGGGGCGGCCAGAGGACACTTTTCATTTTGACCCAGAGTTCACATCTCGGACCCCTACAGGTTAGTAAGGTGGCACGTGGGTAATACATCTTTTCAGTTGGTAAATTCATTCTTCCTTTCCCCTCTCTAGTCCAACACAGTCTAAAAGTCTGATCACCTGTGGCATTAGAGGGTTTTGCCATATCCAGCGGGAAGCAACGACTGGTTTTGCTTTTCCACCCAAAAAAAGCTCATAAGTATTTCACCAACTTCATATTAACTTGTCTTTAGGAAGAACATATTCCACGTTTTTAAAAGGAAAAAATAACTATTTTTTTGCTATTTTATTATTAATTTTTGCTTACACTAGCTGAATTTAACTATTTTCAATTACCTTGGCTTCAAAGACCTTTGTATCTCTCTGCAAGTTAGTATGTAATTATATATTGCATAGATGTTTTATTTAATTACGACATCTCACAGACTGTGGACTGTTGGAAGGTAATGTGTGGTTAAAAGAAATGAAGAATCATCAAATTCTGAGGTCAGCAGAGTTATGCCAACAGGAAATTTGGCCCACAATATTTAGAAAATGCTTGCAGATAGAATGTTCCTGTAACTTCTATTTCCTAACAGAAATACTATACTTTGTACACTGTATATGTGAAGGTGACTGCTGCATAAAATTCAATCTTTCCACTATTTTAAGTGGAAAGGAAGAACATCAGTAATGTCAGTGTGGTAATCCCACTTGTAATGGTGCCTCCTGCTAGACATGAGCAAGTTACATTATATTTCTGCCTGTGATGTACCTGTGTAAAGAAGTACCCGTTTATACTTTCTAAAGTGTAAAAATTGAATTAGTGGTTGTTTGTTAAACACTTTGAAGGTGGTAAGCACTGTAAATGTCACATAGTATCACGGTAATAAAAAAGTATAAGGTCTCAAGCTTCAATCCTCAAATTGCCCCAGAACTGTTGCAGTGAGAGGGAAAGATCTGAGCTTTCATTAATGAAAACACCTACATTATAAATGAGAATCAGAGTTGAGGCTTCCTGCAGTTTTTGTTCAGGCTTATCATGACCTACACCATTTTTTCTTAAAACTAGCTCAAACTTCTATTCAAAGCCTGGCTCAGATTTCCTTTCATGGGGTTTGAAATAAGGGTATATACTCCAAATCTTTCCTCAGTCAGTTCCTTTTTTTTCCCCCCAAAGATGTGCTGACTTTTACAAACTATAAAAATATTACATTTTTGTTTTTTCAACTGGAACATCCACCTGTCTCCAGTATATGTTAGTCATGTTCTGATATTCCTATTCCACTGCATGGAAACATGATCTTTGGTTTCCAGACATTTCACACATCTGATTTTAGCTGTAATTTAGGTTTCAGAAGCACTAATTTCTCTGAAATATTGGAGACTGCAAGTTAATCTGGTCTTTGGGGATGTGTGCTCTGGTGCTGCCATGGGAAGTTTCACTGATGTGCAAAGAAGCATTAAAAGTTTGGATTGCTTTGGAAGTTCACACTTCATTGCTTTTATTGATGCCTGGGGCTATATTTTACACTCTACATGTTACTACTGTTGCCTAATTAAATTTGTTATTTGTTATTTCCTACAAGAACTGACTTGGAAGGTTTGTTTTGGGGTGGTGGCAGGGGTGGGGAGATGGCTGGCCTCAATTCTGCTTTGGGCTACCATGGATAGTGGCCTGAGAATCAAACATTTCAAAATAGGTGTAATTGGAAGTGTGAATGCATTTACACTTTCAGAATGATGGAAAAGCCACAGCAGACTGGCAGAATATTTTGCAGCCCCTGACTGTTGACTGGTTGTGTCAAACAAATTGGGAAGAGTATCACAAATGTGTTTAATACTCTCTCACATTGCCAATGGAATAGAGCAGTAAGCTTTTTTTATTATTATTTTGTCTATCAGGACAAAATAAAACTAACAAACAAACTAACCCTGTTACTGAGAACATCCTCAGAGAGAAAGCATTGTAATAATTTCCTGCTTCATGATCATGCAGTTGTGTTTTAATGAAGCTGTCAATCACTGTTTAGCACTGTCTTTATGAATGAGTTCTCCTGTCTGAAAGCAGGTTTATGTCAAAGTTTTGGATACAGTAAATCTTGTTAGTTCAGTGATTTGCTGTACCTCAGAAACTTCCTTTACCCTGGAGGGTGAAACCACATTCTGTGGATTCTTGACTTCAGATCTAAGTGTGCCAAAGATGTGGTTTCTGATACTGACAGATTATGTGGGTATAGTTTCACATCACTTTTTCTCAGAGATTCATCCAAGTTGGAGTTGCTGGTTTTGGCCATTTGCTTCCTAAATTCACCACTGTGGCCCCACATCTCATTTGTGGTGACTCAGCTCCTTTCATGGAGCTGGAGGCTGAAGCAGTTCAGGTTAGAAATCGTGATTTGGACAAGGATCAAACCAAGATCATTCTTGTGACTCAGCTTAGACTTCAGTCCACAAATGTTTGTATTGTTGTAATTGATGGAACAGCAGGCTGTAACCAGCAGAGATGTTTTAGACTGGCTTTACTGCTGAAAAAAGTATTTAAAATTTCACCTGAAATACCTAAATATCCTCCTTTGCAATTAAGATGTTTGTTAACCCCAGTGAAACATGATGAAGGAAATAACTTAGGAGTTATGAAGCCTTTGAAAACCCTTAAACATAGGTGCTCTAGTGGAACAAAGCATTATTACTTTTCACAGGAAGAAAGATAACCATTAGATAAGATTAGTGCCTGTAAGTGGTTCTAATTCAGATATGTGAAATTATTCTGATTTATAAGGCCTGGAAAAATGATTCAGGTTTCTAAGCTATCAGTTAATTAACATGATTTATGCATAGCTTTGCACTTAGCAGAAATGTTTTAATGAGTAAATCAGTTGTTGGTGATGAATATTTGATAGTGAGCAGCAAATCATCAATAGTTCTTCTGCAGTATTTGCTGGAGCAATTGACAGTGAATTATGAAGGAACAATTTTTTTAAACGGATCTGATCTACCACTTTAGTTTTAGAGCTGGATCACAGCTTTTCTGAGGTTCAGAAGTGTTCAGATGTGAATTATTGTCATTCCTTTTTTTAAACAAACATTCTTTCCTCTTAATTAATCCCTTGTGTAACAATCCCTGTTATAGATATGCCCCGGTAGGAAGTATCCAGTGATGCAAGAGGTCTGGTGTGATTCATCCACGTATTTGCAAGGAGAGTGCCCATCAAAAACACTGAGATAAACAAAAAGCCCACGTCATTTTACCAAAAGACAATCTTCTCCATCTGAACTCTGCTTGCTGTGCAGTAATAGCACACCGACTCCTGACGCCTGTCAAAGCTGAAAGGAGCTTTGTGATGAGAAATGGAATTAGCTGAAGTCTCAGTTTTTTTTATTCCCAAGTAGATATATCTTGGTTTTATCAAATTCTGACTTCAGTTCCTCTATTCATTTGACCAGTAGATTTATACAGGATGTGTGCACGCTAAGAAGTTCACATTCTTACATATTTTCAGGGCATCAGGCAGGTGAGTCAGAGATAAAGCTCCGTGGGGATGTATTTTCTTTAAATAACTGGGTATTTACACACTTTACTACAAGGAAATAGTTTTCTAAAGGAAGTTTAACTCTGTAACTTTGTCAGTAAATCACATGGTGCATTGGAGGAAATGTGAAGGGAGAAAGAGAAAAAAACCCACATGCCCCCTCCAAAAAACCAAATAAAAGATTAGCAAATTTTAGTAATATAGGTTTTATAATACCCAACCTGTTGCCAAGGGATGATTTACAAAGTGATTCTTCTTGCTGAGGAAAATACCCAGGATAAAACATACACTGGGGAGAAAGATCTCTTTAAAGCTTTTCAGAATTTTAATTGAAGCGCAGCTCTACTTGCTTTGTCATGCTGCTTCTCTCACTGAGCAGTGGTGCAGGTACAAAGAACTGCTCTCAGCTTATTGCCTACCAAAGGTAGAATTTCTAATTCAGGATTTTTTGAACTTTAGCCATTCCTTCCCTCCTTTTGCTGTATCAGAGGAAGGGTGGGGAGAAAATATCCGTGAAGGTTAGTTAAAACAATCCTTTTTGTTTTTCCACCTGAGGATAAGTCAACCCTGTCTTCCCTAGAGTAGGTCCCGGCTCCTAAAGCTGCTCCAGAAGATTCCTATAAGGCCACTACTGGAGTATTCTGCTTTTCCACTGGTTTCATGCATTCTCTATATTCTCCTGATCCACACAATTTGCCACTCCATCCTTTGTAATTTCTGTAGCTAAGTTGTGCTGCAAAAGACAGCTACAACATCCTGTAGCTTTTTTCCACTCCCTGGAGAACCTCTGATAAGCCCTGCAAGGTTCCCTGCCCTGAGCCTCCTGTCTCTCACCGAGCCTCTCTGCCCTGTGCCTTCTCTCTGGGCACTCTTGGCACAGGCAGTACTTTGCCTAAGAATGCCCTGTGAAAAAAATCCTGTATCCAGGAGGAGACATCCTTGCAAACAATACCCCTGCACTGTTGAAACCCAGAGGAAAGGAATGGAGAAGGCACACCTAAGTCTCGACATGGAGATGAATTATATTCCCCTGTGTGTGCCAGTTTATCAGATTTATTGACTGCCAGAGATGGTTTTGTCTGTTCTACTGCCGTGCTTTTCCTTTCTGTTCTTCTGTGCAGCTCATGAGGCCATTTTCTTCCTTCTCCTACAGATTCCCCCGGTGTTCCTCCAAGTGCCAATGCTCATCATCTTTTCAGAGGGTTCAGCTTTGTTGCCTCCAACTTGGTGCAGGAGCCTGCACAGCAAGATGTGCACAAGATCACTGTTCACCCAATTGTGCAGGTACTGATGCTGGTTACATTTCACATTTCACGGATGTGCACATACGTATGTGTTTATTTAAACTGCCTAATGCTCTCACTGGTATTTCACAGCTACCTAGTGTAGGAAGGAGGTGTTTTACATGCAGCACGTAGGTGTTAGAAAATGAGAAATTTTTTGCAAAGGCTTTTATGTATAAAACGTTCCTCACCACCTTTGCAAAGGAAATAGGGGCTGCTCTTTGTCACAACTAAAATGAAAAGCACTTCTCAATACCTGAAACAGGATTCCAGTTGTGCATGCAGGGCAGGTAATGAAATACTGGTTTGTCACTGAATGCATTTCATTCCCAACAGTTTTGTCTTGGATTATATGATCCAGTTTGTGCTGGCAAAGTGGTTTGATGAACTGCTCCTGTAGGCTCCCCCAAGCCCAAGCTCCTGGGTGTAAGAGGCCACTGTGCTCCTGTTCTGTTTCACAAAAGCCTGGATGTACTCACCTAAACCAGGGTGCTTGGTGGGGAACATGCCAGACACTTGGTTCTTTGCTGCTATTCTCCTAAAAAAATCTATTCAGTTGTACTTTAAACCAGAAATAGATTGCTACAAAAGGTTTGATACATCAAAGAAGAAAACAGGGAGAAAGAACAGGGCTGCTTAAAGATGCAGCCAATTTTCTCACTAGGAAAAAGCTCCTTCTGCTACCCACAGCCACAGGTGTACATGCCTCAAGGAGGGGAGACCCTGTCTGTGGTTTTCATAGGTTTTCATCTCTGTTTTAATTATTTGCAGTGGAATGTGTCATACTCTTAAAGATGCTCTTATGGCACAGTAAGTGAAGTACTACCCAAGCCATTACATCTCAGAAATACCATATATATATATATATATGTTACGTGTATATTTATATATATATATATATATATATATGTTAAATCAAATTCCTGTGATTTGCTTTGTAAAACTGTATTGAATATTGACATATGCACATCTTAAAATTTAGCAGGTTCTGTGTGGACTTTGCTGGCAAGGCTATGTTTTTAAAGAGAAGATTCTGGAGGATTTTTAGAGGTGCTGGTTGTTTCTTGAGTCCTGGGATGGAATTTGCAGCAAATTTCAAAAAGCCTCAGATTTGGGGTTCACCATTGGACTGGTCTACTTGCCCAGACATTTTCCAAAGAACATATGAATTAATGGCTGAAAATATTAACTTCTCTCTCACAAAGAAACTGCAGATAAACATATTCTAGACAAGACTTCCAATTATCTGGAAGCACTCCTCATATATGGGGTATCTCTCTTGAACACAGTGAAACTATGAAACTTAATATTTTATGTTACCTGCCCCTCAGTATTTAGAAATCAGTTTATATTGTCAAGATATGTAGGTTGGTCAGGAGATTTGGACCCACAGTTTCCTATGAATTTCTAATATATGGTTATTTTCTGCATTCCAAAAATAGTTTAGAAAATCGCAGCAGTTTTGCCACTTCTTCTACAGACAATTCCCTCTTACAGACTGGAAAAAGGTAGAAAAGGAACAGACACATTCACTTGTTTACGTAAAGAGCTTCAGAATCTTTTAACTGGATTTAGAAAAGCTGCTAAGGACAAGAGAGCTCTGTGAAGGGAGAGGAGATCAAGGATCCTTGCCTTTACATACTCATGTCCTGATTACCTTGTTTCTTTTGTCTCCCTGTAGCAGTTACATGGGAACAACATTCACTTTACTGATGGATACGAGATCAAGGAGGACATAGGAATTGGCTCCTATTCCGTGTGCAAGAGATGTGTTCATAAAGCTACAGAAACAGAGTTTGCAGTGAAGGTAAGAAAGCCTCTGGTAAATGCCAGAAATGCAGCTGAGGCTGCTCTGCTTCTGGATTGTTTGTTGGCTTATTTCTTGTTGCTTGAGATTTTTTTCTGTTTTGTAATATGGCAGGTTTCATGATAAGTCTTCCCTGTTTTTCACACTTCAATCCCACCACGTAGAATTCCTCAGTGGAAAAACCCTTTACTGTCTTGCATGGAAATCCAGTTATCACTTCAGCCATACTCGTTGCAAACTAAATAAGATTTTTAACATACTCTAGACGGAATCATCATAATTTTAAAAAATTGCATATAAAATTATTGCAAATTTGAAACATGATTTATTCTTCTTTCTCAAGTTCTTTAGGTCTGAGTTTCTTGTAATTAGAGAGATTTTTCAGTGAAAACCATGATCACCTAGAAAAACTCAGATTTCCTTTTGTCTTCTTCACATTCAAAATGAATGCTATCAAAATGAGTGAAAGTCAGTCTTCAGCAGAGATAAAATATTGATTTAGTTGGGCATTGAGGACAAGTCAGTGAACTTCAGACTTGGTCAAGGAACGCTGCATAGAACACAGTCACTGTGGTAATTTTGGGGTCCTGCGTTGTAGGGAGGAAAGATGAATCTGACTCCATGTTCTTAGAAGGCTAATTTATTATTTTATGATATGATATATGATATTTATTATGCTCTACTAAACTATACTACTGAATAGAGAAAAGATACTTACAGAAGGTTTAACAAGATACTAAAGTAAAACTCCCGACCTCTTCCAGAATCCCAACACAGCCAGACAGTGATTGGTCATTAAGTAAAAACAATTCACATGTTAGATAGACAATCTCCAACCACATTCTAAAGCAGCAAAACACAGGAGAAGCAAATGAGATAATTTTGTCTTCCTTTTTCTCTGAAGCTTCTCAGCTTCCCAAGAGAAGAATCCTAAGCAAAGAAATTTTTCCAAAAAATACAACAGTGACATCACATCTGCCCCAGAGGCCAGGGAGCTGCTAGCATGAGGGAAGAACTTCAGTAGAGCTACTTTGGAAGGCCATGCTTGGAGAACTGTCATCAATTCCATTCAGTGCTGTTGAATAAACAGCATGCAGCCATTGCAGGGGCCAGTACAGACCAGTGGCAAGTGGTTGTGAGATAACAGCTCAGAGGAAGAGTTTCAAACATGCACTTTTCTTTAAGGAAAAGTTTAGCAGTGAAAACACTTCATGTGTTAGGAAAGTACTTCATGGTTTTGTTCTTGTACCAGAAAGGGACAAGTTTAGATTATAACACGGAATTTGAAAAAACAGGGGAAGTTAGGTCAGATCCTTTCACTTCTGTGGCATCTCATGGGAACAGATTGCAGTACATAGAGAAGAGTATTTTGCACACTTGCAGTAAATGAGGGGATCTAGCCAACTGCTAGTCTACTTTTAATGTTTTAAAATTTTATAAAATAAATGTAAATTTAGCTAACAAATGAGATTGTGTCTTTGCTGTTAAATGAGATGATGACAGCTTAAGGAAGTGATCCAAACTGCAGTTCCTGAGATAAATGACCTCAAGGCAGTCAGTAGAATGATATGAAACATTTTATTCAGTCTTATTTTCCACTACTAGATGGGTGGCAATGCAGTATCCCTGAAAATCCATGAAACTTTTCATGTTTCCTCATGATGGCCACAAAAATCTGGAAACCACTATTAACCTACAATCTGTTGATGTCACTGTTCAAACAATGGTTGATTTTGCTGGGCTACACCATAATTAGGAGCATGGACTTACCAGCAGATCTGTGGGCTTTCATATGAATGTGCTAATATTTTCATTTCTAATGAATTTAAAAAATCAGAGCTTTTCAGTGCCCAGGTCATTTATCAACAGATGGCATTATGTTATAGTAGGTGTGGGTTCCGTATAACTGAAATACATCCATGATGAACAAAATGTATACTAAATTTAAGTAATAACTTTAATATTTCATTTATATCAAGTATTATGGATGGATTTATGAGTGTAATACAACCAGTGTGAACCCAAAATAGAAAAACCTCATCCCTTGAAGATGTCTGAGTGCCCAGATCTGACAGGGTCCAGCATGCTCAGCAGGCTGGGTGTTTGGGGTACCTCAGAGGATCCAGAACAAAGCCAGGGCATGGAGACACTCAGAGCTCCAGCAGAGTTCAGCTCTGTGATTGCTAGGTTTATGCTCTTTCCCATTTTTAAAAATATTTCCTCATTTTACTCCTTTGTTCTTCCACTTTTTACAACTCTTTTTTTGTCATGTAAATATGTCTTGATTTTGACTGCCGGTGTAGGCAACATGTGCAGCATCTCCGTTTCTGACACAGTGTGAGTCAAATGTGTAGCACAGATTTGGGGTTCGAGACAGTTGGTGGGTTTCTGTTTGTTCTGTCTTTCCAGCACATTTAGTGCTGCCTCTTTGGTTATTACTCTTACCAATATATTAATTTTACTTTTCTTTCAATTTTATTGTAACTTCATAATACAATTATATCCTTTTGTTGTCAGAGTAGCTCGCTTTCAAAAAAACTGCACAATGCCACCCATTTCAAGTAATTAGATAGCACAGGAGTTGCAACTGATATTATCATAATTATATATCAGTCCCTTTTGACATGCATCCTTTAACTCTCTCTTTAAAAATCACTGTAATTAGGCTCTTTTCATTTCTGTTAGTAAGTATAATTTTCTCAGTGTTCTCCAGCATGTAACATTCAGAGGGAAAAGTGTCTGCAGAGATAGTTTGTGTGATAGGCAGCAGCCCCATTTGCTTTGCACCACCTCATTAAATCTCCCTCTTTCAGAGGAACTGCCAACACCTCGGAGAACATCATCCTGTCTCCCTCAGGGAAGGAGTTAAGGAAATTACGTGGTGGCATCGCTGCAGGAAGACACACACCATGTCACTGTGGAAATAAATTATCCTTCCTTGGAGCCTGCCACTCACCTTGTTTACTATTGTTCCCTGGTGTCTTACTGAGACAGGAGATTGCCTGGCCAGAGTAACTTGAGTCAGAGCCACTGCCAGAAAAGCAAAACCTTTCCTAGCCCAGAAGCAGAACATATTTAATAAAATGCAAGCCACTTCATCCCTTTTCCTTTTGCGGGCCATCTGCTGCTAATTGGGGGGGCGTATTGTAGAGGTAATTAGATGTCTAGCAGTGCAAAGATGGTGCTTGCTGGTGTTGTAAAAGCATTTGAACAGGTCTGGAATTCCACTCTTTTCAGAGCTGATTGAGATGAGGCACGTGTCTCACTGAGGAGCTTTTGGAATTTCCCCCAGACACCTCTCTGCACCTGTAGGCAGCTGTACTGCCTCTGTAAATCCAATCATGGAGCTGCTGAAGAAGAGAATTTTCTTACCACCTATTCCCTATTCTTCTATGTCATCTGTAAAAATGAAACGCTAATAATAAACTCTAAAGCTATTTTAGACATGCCCTTGGGCTTCTAAGTGCAATATTTCAGAATTCAGACATAGCTCCACTTCTGAGAGCATTTCAATACCCTGCAAGAGAAAACCCTGTAGACAGTCAGACTTCCTGCAAATTGAGTCTACCCTGAAGCTAGTCACCACCTATGTAGGTCAGTGCAGGTAGATGTTGGTTTAGCAAGTCCATGTGTCATATTCTACTTGCACGTACATACTCTGGGGAGCTTTTAAAATTTTACTTTTAACTTTTTTCCATCTCATTCCCAAGGGAAAAAAAAGTAAAAAGCTCTAAAATACAAGTAAGGATTTATTAATTCTTTTGAATCACAGAATATTCTGAGGTAGATGCTTCACAATACTCTGGTAGAAAAAAGAAAGATGGGAAACAAAAGAGTATTTCTCCTCTGATGGACTTCTGCTGTGTTTAAGATTCTTCTGCTATAATATTGATCATCTTGACTACAGCAGGCCTAATGGATTTTAATAGCAAAGAACACTGGCATTTTCAGTTGCAGTTACAAACTTCACATGGATATAAATGTAATGATGAGGTCAGAGGTAAAGGAAAATAAGATCAAAGTATTAAGTCACATCGGTATCTATAGAAAATAAGTTAATTAAGTAAAAGAATTATGCTAGAGGAGCTGGTAGAGGTTTCTGTGGGTGGAAGAAAGTTTAAAATGGAAGCCTAAACAGATTAAGAGCTCTTGTTTGGAGTTCAGAAGACTTGGTGAATCAGATTTTTCAAAACCTTCCAGATATGTGATGCAATTAGCATATTCTGAATGTTTTTCTTGTCTTAAAACTATTGCACAGCTTTCAAGCTTGGAGCACAAGTGAAGCTTTCAAGCTGGATTTTTGGATGTGCTTCTTACTGATGCCAGATTAAGTAAATTAGAAAAGGACTTCATTTCATCTCCCTGTTTTTAAAGGTTTGTCTATTCAGATTGACTCCTGACCCCCAGCAGAGATTACTGGTGAATAATAGACAAGTAGAAATTTCTGCTGCTGAGCCAGTTCGACTCCCAGTACTGCCCCCAATATTGCAGTGGTAGGGGTTTTAGATGCCACATTCAACACCTTGATGTTAACTGCCTTTTTCTTCAAAATATCCAGCTGGTTAAGTCTTGGGGGGTTTCAGTCCCTCCATGCTGTTAGAGGCAAGGTGGAAAACTAGGTTGTATATCTTAAAAACAGGATATACATTTTTTCTTTCCTTTGAAGAAGAAAAATATAGTAGAGATAGTCCAAATTGACAAGTCCAATTTTGCAGATGCCAGTGTTACAGTAGAATTTGAATCTTGAAACACATGTGAATCTCATGACTTTTTCCTATCTCTGTAATGTACTAACCAACTGTTTGGCTCCAGATGTTCCACGGTTGTGAGCAAAGCCAAAGTTTGCAGTCTGTGTCTGCCTCTGGGGTACAAGTTGGACTCTGCTAGCAGAGTCCAAGTGAATCCTCGTGTATAATTCTGGCAGCTGCAAAGCACTGAGAGCACATCCATCTAACATGTTTTGGTGTGTGCAGACTGGAGAGAAGGTGCATTTTAATTAG